CGACGGCGATGACGGGGGTAGTGACATGGCTGGGGACATACCCATGCGGAAGGAAGGCATGTTATTGGGTCGGAAGTAGAGTCTGGGAATTTGGGAGAATGAGATTGTTGAATGCGATATGGGGAATCAGGAGTTCTATCCAGAAAAAACAATTTAACAGGGAAAAAAAAAAGATTGAATTTTGTAAATCTAAATTTCGATGATGTTCGAAAATGGAACGAGGTTGTGGGGCAGTCTCTTGTATAATTTCGAACTGATTCTAAAAGTAAATGTGACAGTGTTCAGACGGAAATTCAAGATGCTACGTGCTCATGTGATTTGGAAGCGCCGAAAGTAGGGCTGTGAAGGAGCCAACAACCCGAATAGTAACTCGACTGGACCCATCGGTAAATGATTTGATCCAACTCCAGAAAAAGCCCAAGAAAATAAAACACGGCCATCTCTCTCTCTTGACAAATGGTTCAAAATTTATCCAATAACTGATATGTTGCATTCCCGTGTCCTACTTATATTTATACAATTCAGATTTTTCTGACTAATTAAAATTTTAAATAGAGATTTTTTTACCAATTTTTTATAATTTTATGGCATGTACGATATAAGTATGTGGAAAAAAAAAAGTTATCTCAATTTATATAAAATTATTTTTTAAAATGCTTTTTAAGGTTCAAAGGAAAAGAACAACGTTGCGTCTTGTGTAATGAACAGTATCCACTACAGTTAGTCCTTATTTTATCTTTCATTTTGTAATCTACATTCTTGATTGTTTTTAATTAGAAATATGTATTATTACTTTTGGTCTTTAATACTAGTATAAAAGTTAGTTGACTAATTTGATTAGATTAAAAAAATTAGTTTAACTAGTTATTTGTAATAAATAGATTTTGTCTTGTCTAAAATACTTTCACTAATCATATGTAGTAGATATAACTAACATTTAATATATGTAACTACTGCACTGATTGTTTTATCGAAAATATGAACAAATATGAGGGACAAAATATATTAAATTCTTATATTTAGAACTAATTTAAATGTCAAACTAGTCATTATATTAAAAACTGGATGTAGTACTAACCTAATCTCAAATTATAAAAAAATGAAAACGTACGGAAAATTCATAAAAGTGTAATTGCTATGTTCATACTTCTTCCCCAGATTTGTAGTTATATTTTTCTTGGAGGAAGCAATTGATTTTTTTTTGAAGGGACTAAATGAAGTTTTCACTTTTCAAACCGCTATGTGTAATTTCATTTTGTCTTGTGGGCAATTGCCCCATAAGTCATTCAAATACAAAAAGAACAGTTTTTCACTTCAATGTTCCATTTTTTTAATTAAATTCTATCACCTCTTTTTTATTTTTTTCATTTTGTTTCTGTCCCTACTTTCCAAACGCTAATGACATAAAACAGAACAATCATTGACATAAAATAGTAGAATGGAGTGACGCAATAGAGTCTGGTAAAAAAAAAATAACTATAAAATTTTTTTAATAACAAGTAAAATTGTTATTATAAAATTTATTATTATAAGCTGTTGCTATTGAGATTTTATACTACCTCCGGTCCTTATTATAAGATCCCGTTTGACTTTTTATTTGGTCCTAATTATAAGACCCCAATCCATTTTGTCTCTTATATTTATGCATTTTTTCCAAGATAATCCTTCTAATAATGATAGTTTTACCCAATATATTTAATTAGCAAGGATATTTTAGGAATGACAACACTTATTTATTACAAATAACCAACTTAACTTACTTTCTTAATCTCCTCAAATAAATCAATTGGGTGTTATAATTAGAATCGGAAGTAGTAATAATTAGTCTTTTTTAAAAGAAATTTATTGCAATTCTCTTTAAAAAAATTGTAAGTGGGACCAACACGAGAGGACTCGGGAGGAAGCTGGGCCTCATGTATGTCAGTAAATATCTGTACGTTCTAAGGCTCATACGTAATATGTAAAACGTTCCTCGCACGTTTCTCATGCCATTCAATAATGTCCCAAGTTCCCCAAAAAACGAAATGTCTCAAGGGGCCCACCCCCAGAGATTCCTCTCATGGGATACACAAGATTAAAATGGGCTGGACTGTGACGGGTCTAAAGACTTACAGTTTGGTCTTTTTTGGATCGTCTTTTGGTAGGTTGAGATTTTTTCAACCCACCCGGTAGGCTAACCCACCAACCCACTAATTTTTATTTAATTTTTTCTTTTATTAAAATTTACTCAAATTCTGAAATATCTAAAATAAAACATGCAAATATAGAAATTATAAGAAATAAGGCATAAAATACAAAGTTTAAACTTTCAAATATCTCAAAATATTAAACATGATTACATAATCCATCCATCCAAAATGATTTAATAAACATCCAAATTAAAACATAAATCCAAATTAAAAACGGTACAATACTACAAAGTCATAAACATAATGTATCAAGTGCTCAATCATGACTCATAACTCCTGCATGGTGCGTTCCATTCAAAAGGAAAATAAAAAAAAAAAAAAAAGTAAAACGGGTTGACCTGCTAACCTTACGGGTTAACTCGTCGCGGTTACGAGCTCAAAAAATCTGTTTTAAAACGGTCCCAATTTTTATCAAACCAACCCGCCATATTATTGGCTCAACACAAGATGAGTGCCTTTTAAAAACATTTTTACATGAATCGAAATAAATATTTTTTATATAAATATTTTTATATTATAAAATTATTTTTTAAATCATAATTTTATTTTTATCAAGCAATCCCAAAATCACACTCAAGTGAGTTTATTATTTTTATGTTTCCAACTTATAAAACCGAATTGATTCACTCTTAAATTTTAAACTAGCTGTAAACTAGTAAAATTTATAAGTTTACTATCCAAATTTGTCAATTTTTGTTTTAACTTACAAATTTGTATCACCAACTTCATTTGTTATGAAAGTTGATTAATTTAATTTCAATTATTTAGATTTGAAATATATTTAAATCAAATTATTGTATTTTTTTTAATTAGACAATCGAGAACCCTCTCTCTAGGGGAGGGGACCTACACGCCACTTTGGCTTTGGTCGGTGCAAAACACAACTTCTTTCTTAAGAGGAGATATGGAGCGCCCTTAAACCAAATGGTCCTTGACTCTATTTTAATTATTCAAGGATATGATTAGGTCCAGTGTTTTAGGTCCATTAGATCCAGTAAACCAATAAGATGTTGCCAGCTAGATTATTTTTGCATATCAGCACTTAACCCCCAAAGACCACTGTTAGCCTAATTAAACTCCTTTTCTGATGGCCAAAGAAAAAAAAAAAGAAGAGAAACTCTTTTTCTCCTCATCTTCTTCTACCGCCGTGGAAAAGAAATTCCTAGAGTTCATCCATGGCGGCATGCCTCTTCCTCACCGTCGGAATGCCACCAACACTCTTCTCCCTTGGATTATTCTCTAACCTGCTACCTTTCAGACTGGATGCTCTTCAGAAACTCTTGGCTGCCGAAGACGGCGTCATAATTGCGGGCTTCCAGTTGTCCTCCGTAATGACGTCGCTCAGAAATTTGGCACGGTCTGACTGTCCGAGCAAGAACAGAGTACCCTCTCCGCCCACCATTTGAACGGCTTGTACTATTCCTTTAGGTTCCAACCTAGACAAAAATACTCTTCCACAACGCCTTCACATCCGGCTAGGCGTCTACTACACCGATATGTGAGTTCACATCCTGCTCCTGCATCAGAGCCTCCATCAACTGTTTCAAAGACTCTGCAATAAATGGCGGTTTTGTGATCCATGATGACTTCACAGCGATGGCCTCAATGCAAACTAATTGAACAACGGAGTTGGAATCGTGGAGCCTTTTGATGACAATAGAGATCATCTTAGAGAGGTGAGGAGAGAGAGCATCACTATGGAAGAGGAGAGAACTGTCAGCAGACGCACTCATGGTCGCTGTTGTGAATGTAGCTGAGGAAGAGAGAGAATGAGTCATGAACTATCACAAGTTTATCATATAGTCAATAGTAAAACTGTAAAAGTAAACTTTTATCAATTTATATATTTGAGTTGGTAATTCAAGTACTATCACAAGTTTCCTTAAACCTGAATTTGACAATATTGATTTGTGTGTGTGTGAGTTCGTTCTTACTTCTCAGGCAGGATGTTGAAGAACTGTCCCCCAACTCCCTTTTTTTGTTTCATTTTTTCCCCCGCGGGGGTTACAGCTTACCGAATAGGCTTAAACCTCAAAAAAAAAAAAACATTTACTCGTATTAAGTAAATACATATATTCATTTATGGAAACTAGTGTATAATGTGGGATGTAACATCCTTAGTCACGGATTACTATATAATTCCTTGAAATAAAAAAAATATAATAAAATATATCGATGTTCGCATATAAACCATCTAGGCACTATGTATGATAAATATATCAACGTCCACAGTCAATGGCATCCATATACGCAGGACTCTTCATTACATTCCGCTCCGGGTTCCCGAAATCAACATTCCCATCACCCTGCCAAAGCTTTGGTAGAATATCTTAAATATACCACATTAAACTATAATAAATAACTACTTTGTATGAATGCCAATATTATGATGTATATTTCTCAAATTCAATGAATTTTGATATATAATCCTTTGGTTTTAAATATAAAACTTATTTTATAGTGTAATTTATACTATAATAAAATAAATTTTATATTTAAGACTAGAAAAATATATATATTATTTGTGAATGTTCCTGCATTAATTTGTCTGGCAAGAAAAAAATAAATAAGTTGACTTGATTCATGAATGGGATAGGATTTAAAATGAATGATTCATGAAAGTAATTATGAGTTTGTATTTATGACATCAATAATTAGGTTGTTTGAATATATGTCTTCTATATATCAACGCACACACTTACCACCATATATGGCCTCGTTCGTTCTATCTCATTTTGACCAGCACCCTCCTTCGTTCAAACCTCCACCAATTCTTAATTACCGTCACCTTCCCCGCTTCCAAACACAGCAATGGCTGCGCAGAACATAGAGATTCCTCGAGTCAAGCTTGGAAGCCAGGGCCTCGAGGTATAATTCCCATAATTCTCACAACAATGATTGCTTCACTTGCGAATCAATCACTCTTCATTTTCTTATCTCTTCATTCCAATAGTTCAATCTCGTCCCTATGTTATCAACGCTGCTTTGTGAGTATGATGATTGAACACGACCCTTCTCTGTTCAGGTTTCCAAGTTAGGATTTGGTTGTATGGGACTCACTGGAATCTATAATGCTCCTGTCCCTGATGAGGTTGGAGTATCAATTATCAAGGATGCTTTCAGCAACGGTATCACATTCTTTGATACATCAGATGTTTATGGACCCCACACTAATGAAGTTTTGTTAGGAAAGGTAAGTCAAGATTTTTCTTTATAATTGTGTCCTGTTCCATTACAATCTTTACATTGTGGAATGACTGTCAAAAAAGGCTATCATCACCGTTTCAATTAAACTATACAATATTCCCCCCTTCTTTTTGCCAAAGTTACCTCAACTGTAGGTAAGTTTCAACTTGGGAAGGAAACTGTACCATTTAGAACAAATGAACTTCATATTACAGAAGAATAAATAAAAATACTTCTCAATTGATTTTGATGAATTGTTGTTTCATGAAATGATGACTTCAATGCCTGAAACTCTCAGGCACTAAAGGAACTACCCAGAGAAAAAGTTCAGGTTGCAACAAAATTTGGGATTGTCAAATTTGAAGCTGGCAATGCCATAATAAAGGGGACGCCAGAATATGTTCGTTCCTGTTGTGAGAGTAGCCTCCGGCGCCTCGGTGTGGAATACATAGATCTCTATTATCAGCACCGTGTTGACACAACAGTTCCTATTGAAGTCACAGTAAGCGGCATATAAGATTTGAATCTTTCTTCTTTGTCCTTTGATAAGGCTTAGTGCATTATGAAGAATCTTTCTGTTTGTGTTTATTTTGAATGGCCAGATGGGAGAATTGAAGAAGTTGGTGGAAGAGGGAAAAATAAAGTACATTGGATTATCTGAGGCTAGCCCGGACACTATTAGAAGGGCTCATGCGATTCATCCAATCACTGCAGTACAATTTGAGTGGTCCATCTGGACTCGTTACATTGAAGAAGAAATTGTTCCACTTTGCAGGTAAATTCTGTTGTTAACAACAATCATCAATAAACCCGTTTCTGTTTGAGAAACTTATGTCTAGGCCGAAGTTCTTCTATTTAAAATATCCTGGCTTGTTCATCTTTTTTATGTAGTTGTAGTAACAACTATTATAAGTGAGCCTATTTTTTATGACCCTTCAATTTACCAAAAACGATTTCCTCAAATACCAACGAACTTAGCTCCTTTTACATCACTTGCTTGAACACTAGGCAAACCTTTGTATTTCAATATGAGAATTGTAGTTATGAAACCAGGTTAATTGTTTTGCTGACTTACTGTCTTCTGCACCACTGGTGAATCTTTCTTATGGGGTGACAACACCTTCAGGGAACTTGGAATTGGAATAGTATCATACTGCCCCCTTGGCCGTGGATTTTTTGGTGGCAAGACAGTGATAGAAACCGTACCTGCTGAAAGTGCCCTGGTAAGGCTTAATAATTTGGCCATGAGCTTCATTTCTCTTCTGTTTTCATCAGACCAGTGATCCAAAAAAGGCACAATTATCTGTGATGTGACATGCCTTTCCAATGGTCTGTGTTTTCTTCTGTCAGTCAAAAGACCTCAGGTTTAAAGGAGAAAACTTTGAGAAGAACAAGAACATATACTTTAAGATAGAGAGATTGGCTCAGAAGCATGCATGTACAGTATCACAAATTGCTCTTGCATGGATTCTTCATCAAGGAGATGACGTGGTGCCAATCCCTGGTCAGTGATTATTTTCTATTTTGTCACCTTCATGACTTAACTGTGTTTTTATGGCTTAATCTATAAAATGGTCCTAAAGAAGGGTGTTTCATGTCCTAGTCAGAGTCTCTTCTGACAAAGTAAAATGTGAAACTGCCCAGGAAACTAGCACTTGTACAAAGATCTTCTTGCTACATGACATGGTTTTGAATAAATGATTCTGGGCCAGGAAATTGCATTCTTATTGAATCTCTCATGTATTGTAGGAACGACCAAAACAAAAAATATGAACACCAATATTGGTTCGTTTAAAGTGAAGTTGAACGAGGATGATTTGAAGGAGATTTCAGATGCGGTCCCAGATAGTGAGGTAGCAGGGGATAGAACAATTCACTGTTCATGGAAGTTTGCTAATACCCCGCCCAGGACAAAAAATTAGCTTATTTATTATGCACAAGACTTTTCTTATTTTCCTCCCCCCAGGAAAAAAATAATAATATCACATCATCTGACTTATGTTTCATTCTTATTTGTTATGTGAGTTAATTTTGAAATCATTAAAAAGGTTATCTGGTGAGCCTTATTTTGCTTCTGCAATACATACTAGGCTTTCAAAAAAGAATGGTGAAGTAATACAACCAAATTTGTCTTTGCCTTTAACAATATATAAATATGTATTTATAGCTACATGTTCACTAAATTAAATGTTATCTTAGCAAAGTTTTTTCCCCACTTTGACGATGGTATTCAACATGTATTCTTATTTATTTTTCACACTGTAGATGAAATCAATCAAAGTCAATTAATTTGACTGAAAAATTGGTAAGTCTGCAACGAACTCAATTTATTTATTTTGTAAAACCAACCAAAATTTTTTTAAAAAATTATTATGACGCGAATTGTCACCAACAAGCCAAATTTTGCCGGCAAAGAATAATTATCCTTACTTGAAAATGTTATGTTTTTCAATAAGATGGAATGATTAATAAGACCTTTTTTTTGGGGTTTTTTCCTTAACTGATTGAGACCATTATTAACCTCCGACATCCTTGGCCTCTGAACTATTGGGTTATTTTTCAGGATTGATTGAGACCACTATTAATTTTAAGAATAAAATTGCACTCAACTATCAAGGTAAAATTGCATTAAAAAAAGATTATAGGTCAAATTACATCTGAAACAGAGAAAAAATTACACCATTAATAGATTATGAACAAAATTGCACTTAAAAAAATTAAAATCAGGCAACTTTGACCAAAAAAAAAAAAAGAAGATGGAGTCTGCATGCACACTTTTAGGAAAGTTGGGGTATGTAAATCAAACGCGTGGCTGCTACATCACTGCTTTTCAATCTTTTTTCTGTTTTAATTTCTTTGGTTATTCACCTTTTTTCTTTTTCTTTTTATTTTAGCTCATATTTAGAATAAAAAACAATCTTTTTACTATAAAACTAATAGAAATATAAATAATTTGACAAGAGCGAGAGAATATTTAGGAAACCATACGTTAGGTAGGTGGTGAGGCATTGAACCATCGTTTTTGGCTCTGTTCAACGGTCTAGATCATGCGTTTCCACTGTCAACGCACCCACCTACCCCATAGCCTCGTTCGCTGATTCTTTCTCATTTAGACTCGCAGCCTCCTCTTTCAAACCTCCACCGATTCTTAATTACCATCATCTTCCCCAGTTCATCCTTTAGCTCGGCCGAAGATACGGGAAGAGTTTTTCCGGAAAGAGGTGTGAAAATTGAATACTCACACAAACACAGCAATGGCTGTACAGGGCGTAGAGATTCCTCGAGTCAAACTGGAAGCCAGGGTCTGGAGGTATAATTCTTCAACAATAATTGCTTTACTTGCGAATCAATCACTATTTAATTCCTGCATTTTTTATCTCCTCATTCCAATAGTTCAATCTTGTTCCTCTGTTGGCAACCTTGCGTCGAGTGTATGATGATTGAGCCCGACCCTTCCCTGATCAGGTTTCCAAGTTAGGATTTGGCTGTATGGGACTAACTGGAGTCTATAACGCTCCTGTCCCTGATGAGGTTGGAGTATCAATTATCAAGGATGCTTTCAGCAAAGGGATCACATTCTTTGATACATCAGATGTTTATGGACCCCACACTAATGAAGTTTTGGTAGGAAAGGTATATAAAGATCTATCTTTATGATGTGTCCTGTTGCATTGCCCATCTTTACAATGCGAAATGACCGTTAAACAAGGCTATCATCACCATTTCAATTAAATTGTACAATATTCCCTTCTTCTTCTTGCTAAAGTTACCTCAACAAGTAAGTTTCAACTCGGGAAAGAAACTGTACCACCTGGAACAAATGACCTTCATATTACAGTAGAGTTAATGAAAATACTTCTCAGTTGATTTCGATGATTTGTTGTTTCATGGAATAATGACTTCATTCCCTGAAACTCATAGGCGCTAAAGGAACTGCCCAGAGAAAAAGTTCAGGTTGCAACAAAATTTGGGATTGTCAAAATTGAAGCTGGCAATGTCATAGTAAAAGGGACGCCAGAATATGTTCGGTCCTGTTGTGAGAGTAGCCTTCAGCGCCTTGGTGTGGAATACATCGATCTCTATTATCAGCACCGTGTTGATACAACAGTTCCTATTGAAGTCACAGTAAGTGGCATATAAGATTTGAATCTTTCTTCTTTGTCTTTCATAGAATTTAATGCATTATGAAGAACCTTTTTGCTTGGGTTTATTTTGAATGACTAGATGGGAGAACTGAAGAAGTTGGTGGAAGAGGGGAAAATAAAGTACGTAGGATTATCTGAAGCTAGCCCTGACACCATTAGAAGGGCTCATGCGATTCATCCAATCACAGCAGTGCAGTTGGAGTGGTCCCTCTGGACTCGTGAAATTGAAGAAGAAATTGTTCCACTTTGCAAGTAAATTCTTGTGTTAATAAGAATCATCAATAAACACATTTCTGTTCATCCTTTTACTTAAAAATATCTTATGCCCATATCAAATGTCTTCGACTTACAAATGTCTTGGCCTGTTCATCCTTTTATATAGTCGTAGTAACAACTATTATAAGTGAAACCTAATTTTTGATGAACCTTTAATTTATCCGAGAACTATGGTTGCTTCCCTCAAATACCGACGAAATTAGCTCCTTTTAGATCACTTGTTTGAACAGCTCCCTTTCAATTTGAATTTGAGAATTGTAGTCATGAAATTGGATTGATTGTTTTGTTGACTTACTGTTTTTCTGCATCACTCATCAAATCTTTCGTATGGGGTGACAACACCTACAGGGAACTGGGAATTGGAATAGTACCATACAGCCCCCTTGGCCGTGGATTCTTTGGTGGCAAGGCAGTGATAGAAAGCATACCTGCACAAAGTTTTCTGGTATGGCTTAACAATTTGGCTATGAGCTTCAATTTCTCTTATGTTTTCTTCAAACCAAGGATCACGAAAACCTTGCTTATCTAGGATTGTTACGAATTTGTGTTTTCTCCGTTTTTTGTTATGTGGCATGCCCTTTCCAATGGTCTGTGTTTTCTTCTGTCAGTCAATGCAGCCCAGGTTGAAAGGAGAAAACTTTGAGAAAAACAAGAACATATATTTTAAGATAGAGAAATTGGCTCAAAAGCATGGATGTACTCCATCACAAGTTGCTCTTGCATGGATTCTTCATCAAGGAGATGATGTGATTCCAATCCCTGGTCAGTGATTCTTTTCCACTCTGACACTTGCATGACTTAATTGTGTTTTTATGGCTTATCTATAAATGGGTCCTTAAGAAGGGTATTTCATTTCCTAGTCAGAGTCTCTTCTGACAAAGTAAAATGGGAAACTTCCCTGGAAACTAGTATTTGTGCAAAGACTTTCTTGCTACATGACATGCTTTTGAACAAATGGTCCTGTGCCAGGAAATAGCATTCTTACTGAGTCTCTCATGTATTGTAGGAACGACCAAAACCAAAAATCTGGACACAAATATTGGTTCGTTAAAAGTGAAGTTGAGCAAGGATGACTTGAAGGAGATTTCAGATGCGGTGCCGGATAGTGAGGTAGCAGGGGACAGAACAACCGATGCTTTTGTTCGCTGTTCATGGAAGTTCGCTAATACCCCACCCATGACACAACATTAACTTATTTATTATGCACAAGACTCGTCTTGTTTTCCTTACTCTCTCTGTGTCTCCCCATAACATCAAATCGTTTTTCACTTGTGTTTTATTCTTATTTGTTATGCCACGGGTGCTTTAATTTTTAAATCATAAAAAGGTTGTCTGGGGAGCTCCATGTTCAATAAATTGACTGTTATCTTGCCAATGTTTTCCCCCCTTTGATTATAATATTTAACATATATTTCTATTACTTATTTTACACATTGTAGATGAAATCAATTAAATCCAATTAATTTGGCTGAAAAAGGGATAAATTGGCAAAGAACTTAATTTATTTCCTTTGTAAAACCAGCCAAAGAAAAGTTATTATAAGGTGAATCAACAATAATACACGTCTTTTTATAAAAGTTAATACTGACTCGCATAAAGCAAAAATATGTGACATAAAAGCTAAATTAAGATAATCATACTTTTACACATGACATATTATTTTTGCAAAAGCTGAAGGCACATGACGCAGTAGGACAGACATACTTTTCATATAGGCAACTGAGTAAAATTCAAAGTGTCAGCAATCTAGAGTATCAGCAACTAGCCCTTGCTAGTTTAATTTATAGATGGGTTCTTAGTCATAGGATATGTTGGAGCACCTCTTTGTGTTTTCCATATAAGAGGGAATGATTAATTAGACCAATTTTTTAGGTATTTTTCTGGGTTGAATGATACCATTTATTAACTGTTCCCGTCCTTAATCTTTAAACTAATGTTGAGTCGCTTACTTCCTTATTACAGCCCCAAACACCACAGAAAAAGTACAAGTACAGAACATTTAGTCAATAGAATATAATACATCGGTAGTTAATGTGTATTTCCTTCACTCATTGACGGCCTTTTTCCCTTTTTCGGGCAAACCACTCTGCGATGGTTAAATTCCATGCATCTATCTCTTTTTTCGTTGGCAAAAGAATCTCATCCATTTTCAAGTGTCAAATATGCATCCAACAACTCTTGACACTGCGAATTCACAAGACTTGCGATTGTCAGACTTGATGCTTCCTTGGACTTTGTTTCATCATTTAGTGAAATCCACAATCATAAGTCTCAATTTGCAAATTTTATTCCTAGAACTCAAATGCGTGATCAAGTCCCTAGACTATCCCACTTCTAGCTGCGGCCACACGAGGAAGGCATATGCCAAGATCATCCAAATTCGGGCTGCTCTGAATGCTTAGCCCATTCTCATTTGCCAAATGCAATAGACATATGAAACACAAATGAGGAGAGATCTCATTAATAGTCGCAGCAGCTTTGCAATCGTCAGGAAAATTTGCCAGTATTTCCCTGAAAGATACCACTTCCTTCTGATCCTTTGGAGGGAAGAAGGGGACCAAAAACAAATAAAAGGCTAAAATTAGGATTCATCCTCGAAGGAAAAAAATGTTGATTATCTAGTAAGAGTCAGAACAGAACTATTAAGGCCGACAAAATAGAGCACTAGGCTACAGATTCGCATAGGATACGTGTACAGAAAATGAACAAGAATGTTGAAATAAGCACGACATTTCGTGAACAAAACGTAATGCAGGGAGCATTTCATGCTGGTATGTAGGAGGGGAAAGTGGAAAGAGACACAGACGAAGAGCGCGTCGACGGTAACAAAAATGGAAAAGCAATCTTAGCATACCTGAAGAGGCAGCTGACCATTTTCTTGAATATGTTCCCAAAGAGTGTTTTTCAGAGCCTGGACATCAACTTGTTTCGAAGTTTTGTCATACTCAACTTCGATTTTATTGACCTGCATATTTGGAATTAAGCAGACTAAAGCTTAAACGATAATTTCCAACGCAACTGTCAGTTGAATAGAAATTTAATGATACAGATTATCAGTGAAAATAGTATATTTCTTCACCATGACCTATGCCTAAGTACTCACGTGTCAAGCGCAGTGTGCGTGAATAATGGGATAAAAACTAAACCAAACCTGACGAGGCTGAGAAACAAGTGTGGTGGAGTCCTCAAGGTCGCTATGAACATCCCCGTAGTCACCGCCACAAATACTTCCATCCTCATATGAAGGGAACGGCTCGTACCCATTGCATTCTTCATCAGCTCCCGCTGCAAACGTACCTGAGTTTGAAATGCACATGGCAGGACTATGAAATGTTCTATATAGTAACTTGCCAAAAGAATCAGGAGAAACTGTACTGAAGATAAATATATATTTGAATCAGTGGCACAATAATTTACCTGAGAATTTTCTCGCTCTTCTCCCAAGGCACTACAAGACGGGAAAACATCATTAAAGAAACAAATATCATTCCAGAGAGAACTTAGTAAAATTTTGTACACTAAAAAATTACCTTTACATTAGGTAGAATAAACAACTTGACAAGATTCTCTGGCTGATAGTGGCAGTCCTCCGGAAGTTTGTATTACAAAGCGGTCTATTTTCAGGGAGTAATAATGATTTGAGATTCTTGGGAGGAGAAAAGATATCCGCCATTTCTTTATCAAGAAAATTTGCGAAATCTAAATCAACTTCTGCCTGTTTCTTACTTCTTGACAGCTTAGGTTTTAGTGTTGACCCATCCTTTGACTGAGGATTAACCTCGGCACCTGCAAAAAAGGATTCTACACTAACAACCATTTTGAACGCCCATAAACATAATTATTATGTCTAACTTGTCCCCTGAATTCTACCTTTGGCTTTTCTGTACTTCCAATGATCAGGGCCTGCCCATGCATTGTGCTTTGAATTAAAACCTAGACTTAAGAATAAGTAGCCATCGACATTTTCAAATTTGTCCTCAATAGCTGGATCTTGGGGAGGAAATGATTCATTTTCCTGCAAAAATAAACATTTTATCAGAACAACTCATCAATCATGTTAGCAAACCTTTTTTTTTTATTAAAGATCATTGACGACGAGCATACATTTCCTATAAAATTAGCACGCAAACAAACCTGAGCATAACTAGGGAAACTTGCATTAGCATCATTCGAGCCTAGATCATCAATTGTTTGGTCATCATGGTCATCAATCCAAGACGTGCAGTTTCCATATTCTTCTCTGTCAATCTCAATTTCACAGTCATTGGCTTCACCAAACTCTGCTGGTGCTTTCTGACAAGAAAATTCAAAATCTGATGGCCTTCTATTATTTTCATCAAATTGATTTACTATAGTCCTGAGAGTTGGAGAAATTTCATCCTTTATGCGCATGTTCAATACCATCTGTTCGACACATTCTATATAATGACAAGTAAAACACAATTATCAAAATTGAATTGAACGATTCTATTATTAAAAGACAACAATATGGCCAAAACAAAAGCAACACACCTTTGGCAAAAGAAAGATCAATTGTATCTGAAATATCATCTTGATTCTCACTTGTCATGCACTTTCCTGGAACTTCCTGTGAATCAAAGAGGACCCTACATTTACCATAGACACTAAGATTATTCATCAAAAGACCCTTCGCTCCACCTTCATCAAACTGTGCTGATGTCTGATGATAGAGAGGATCCACGGCAAATGCAGCTGAAAAAACATGTAAATTTTCAGAACATTAGTACTTCCAAAACTCAAACAAGTAACAAGAGATAGAATGAGACTTGATATCACCATCAAACTTCTTCACATTAAGAACCTCAAAAGACGATTCCAGTGTTGACAGAGGTGACAACTGCATGAATAAACTACGTTAGAACTTACAACTAAGCATATAGTTTGTTAAGCAGGTGTGCCCAGAGATTCAAAGACGAATGACCTTTGTGTCCATCTCTTTTTTGCTTCCTTCTTGACCTTTTTCAACATTACCATTCTCCAAGAAGCATCTGAGATTTATGACAAGCATTAGAATTAGTAACCAACAAATAATTGTATAGCCAAAAGTTATATGTGAAACAGATATTTAAGACATTCACAGGATGCCATATCCACAATATGACCAATGGTGCATTATTAAAGACGTTATGTAGGATTTCTGTCGCAGAGAATAGACATTCTAAAGATGTTTGCGTGAAAATTTTGGAAATAGAAAATTTAACGCGATAAACCATCATTGTAGTCTTGGCGCGTACCTCTGGTGATAGGAGCATGTCAATGCTTTTTATTCTCGTTTGAACTTATTAAATTCAATGAAAATTAGTCATCATTATCTTATCAAGTTGCTCGTAGTACTATAGGCATTAATTCTTTTGAGGAAATGATTTTGAAGATTGAGTTGTTTAAAAGTATAATGTAGATGTTAAAGTTGGGTCTATATTAGAACAGAAATTATTAGGCTCGACATGGTAACGATGGTAACCTTGTTCAGTTTCTTGGCCTGCTCTATTCATTCCGCCAAGGACTTTATAAGCTTCGGAATGCACTGAATCTACCCTTAATGCATAAATCTTGACTCCCGCTTCAAGTGTGCAACTTGCCTGCCGAAAATAAAACGTTAATAGAATATCTTGATCACAGATACATAATTTTGCTAATCTTTCACGCCTGAGGGTCCCTGTTTGTTCAATCATAAATGAGGAATTCAATTCCACATAATCTGGTGGAGTATGCAGTGGCATGCGTATAATTATTGTCTATTGCTAATGACATCAACACTGTAGAAATGCTTCATAACAAATTACAAAAATCATAAAAAATAATTAAACTTTCCAATCGAAAATCTCTCAGTGATTGGAATGATCAGTCTCTGAGAATGGGAATAAACATTTAATATTTTGATGTACTTCTGGACCAAAATTGTGCCCAAATCAAGTGATAAGAATCGCACTTCGTGACATCCTTCATCAACGTAACGTACCTTTTGGAAATTCGTCTCTACATCATTTTCTTCTTCAACTTTAATGATATCAGTAAGGTGATCAATCAAATTCAGCTCCCATGTATTTTTCTGATTAATTTTCTGCACCAAAAAAATCCAATATTAAAAAATCTCAACATGATTGGAGTGGAATCAAAAGCTCAAGGACAGAACTATAACTCCAGCTTTATTTCGGCTGCAACAATGGCTGAAAACTATCAGCGTGCATGTAGATTACCAAGAGCATGGTAAGAGAGCACTCAATATCATATATCAAAATAAATTCCACGTCTCTATTGATTTCTCAACCAAAAGCTTCAGGACAAGGATAAAACGATTAAGTTTTATTTTACACGTCTGGTGAATACAGACTGGCGGAAGAAAATGCAAGTTCTTGGTAAGAACAAGAGAGTTCAAATCATTGTGAAAGTAATTACTACAAAATTACATTTTCACTGGCAAGCTTGATGCAGTTCTGGAGCAAATCAAGAATCTGCTGCTTGTTGAGACAGGGATCAGAATTGTCATCCAAAGGTTGCGACTGCAATTTTGCAGCAACGGCCTTACGTCGGACCGCAGCAGCGCGGGCAGCGCGGGCCTGAGCGCGTTCGAGCTGGTCGTCGTTGGAGCCCAGGAAAAAAGGACTTGTAGGAGACTGGATGCGAGCAGACATAGGGAGCCTCTGCTTCTGACCAACCGTAGGATTAGGGCTTAGGGTTTCCGCCATGGAAGATGGAATCGACAAATCGACAACAATTCAAGTAAAAGCTGTTTCGGGGAGTTGAATTCTGAGCAGAAGTTCTGTGTTGGGGCTCTCCCGTTCAATTTGGTTCTGGGAGTTCGATTTAAGATTCACAAGGCAATCGCGGAGTTTCCCTCCATATTCGTAATTTGAATTGGCGGAGCAAGACTACTCGCCCAAAAAAATGAAAATAAAAACAAATGGCACAAGAAGACCTTAGCGCGAGGTGGGCTGCATAAATACGTAAATAGCCCAATATCTGAGTAGAAAATGGCGATGATGAATAACATAAAAATCACATGTATGGGTCTAGCGGAAGATCTTCCACAATGTAACAAATCAAATATAAGACTCCAATTTACTTTATCTCTCATATTTATCTACTTTTTTTCATGATAATTCTTCTAATAATAGTAGTTCTAGATAACAAACTTGATTAGCAATGATATTTTAAGAAAAACAACATCTATTCATTACAAATAACTAACTTAACTAAGTTCTTTAATCTCTCCAAATTAGTCAACTGGGTTTTATAATTAGGACCGGAGGTAGTATCTGATAGTGTCTTGAATAGGATTACTTCCAATACGAGGATACCTGTACCTAACAAGATTGAAAAAAAGAAAAACATTTGTAACCAACAAGTTCAATCTAATAAAGAGGACTAATTCCTTTCCATGTGACGAATCAATATCAGATCCCCACTGAAAAAAGTGCCATGCCAAAAAAAAGTAGAAATCACATGAATTAAAATAATGATTCGGTTAAAAAAACCAATGATTTTTTTTGTTGGCAATAAAAAAACAATGGTTTATTTATATGGATAACCTCAAATTCTGTGCAAACATGAAATCCACAGCTTGAAAGAAAAGGTACTTCCCATGCTGAAAAATAATACTAGTATAAGCATAATCATTTAATTGTAAAATAACTAGGTTGCCAAAAAGTTGTAAAATGAATAGGAATATCCATGGGCAACATGCGAGTTAATTTTTATCTTATAATTATGCATGTAAATCAGCCTGTAAGAGTATGTGGTGGCGTTGTCAATATATGTTTGCGCATTAATTCTATTGTCACATTCACGTGTATACGATAGGATATTATTCTTACAGTTGAGGACACTCCAACTTGAATGCAAAGTAGCATTTTGAAGCAGATAAAACAAAAAAAGCCGTGCAAGAATCATATGGCAGGTAATGAGTGTTTAGATAAAAATCAAATTATGATTTTAAAAGTAATTTTACAGTATATAAAATAATTATGTGGAGAATTTTGCTTTAATTTATAAAAAAATACTTTTTAAAAGTACTTTTATGTAATACCAAACACCTAGTGAACTTATTTAATTACAACTTCTTACCATTCAATTGTGTTTTAAAAGTGTATCATTTTCTTAATAAAAAGATCAATTATATATTAAAACCAAAAGACATAGAAGGTTAGCAACAAGCAAGGAACAAAAAAATCGGATTAGTAGTTGAACCAATTGAGATATTGAGTCAAGGGTTAATGGGTCAGATCGGGGTCAACTTGTAGTCAAATCGGTAATAATTAAAATGCTATGTTTTAAATTATATATTAGCTATTTTAAACAGAAATTAAAATAAAGATATGAAGAAAATGTCAAACAATAATAAATACCCAATATATAGCATATAAAATAAATAATTATCTGACCAAAAGTAACTGCGATAATATATATAAAATAAAAGATATATTTAAGAAATTATATATATAGTAAATAATATGATCAAAGTACTCATTAGTCAAACCCATTTATTCCTGCGAGATGATTTCGCGTGGGAAACTTGAATTGTATGGGAAATCTAATTTTTTATTCACCTCTTTCAATTTTAAATGTTCACATTTTTCAAGACCTGCTTGTCCGTTTTTTTTTTTTTTTGACCAAGAAGACCTGCTTGTCCGTTTGAACCACTTCACAGTTTTTTTATCATTTCCTTTCGTTATTCAGTCTTTTCATATCTTGTGAGGAAATGAGTCAAGCATTCATGTGTTTTGGTAGTTTTCTTTCTTATTCTCATTCTTCCCTCTATTTCAGTATTTCTTTCTTCTGCATCCAGACGTTTCTCTCTTCTTTCTTTCATTTTCATACCTCCATGCTCTCTTACCTTCGTTCAGATGTACTCGCAGAGCCGGAAAGATGAGAATAAATTTTAGTTTTATTTACAGAGCGATCTTACAGAAACAAAAAACTGAAGAAAACGGTTATCTTTCTTTTATTTCTGTTTTTCTTCTTCTTCAGTCAATATTTGTTGTTTGTGCGTGTGAAACAGTCTCAGGCTCTTCTTTTAAACAACCCCGCTAAACCACCTAAACCAACTAGTTAGCCAGTTGTGACCAATTTGCACCGATTTAATCCAGCTCTTTTCAGTTCGATTTTCCTCCAGTTTTGTTGATAAACCAGACATGACTACTAACCAGTTCATAGGTTTTCAATCTGAACCGCCCAACTCAGTCTAGTTCTTTGTTCATTAGCAACAAGTATACACAAACATAGAATGACAAGAACACGCCATAGATTGAGACTCAATCCCTTCGGGGAGCAAAATAGAATGACAAGAACACGCCATAGATTGAGACTCAATCCTTTCGGGGAGCATAAGTGTATAATTATATCAAGAAACAATGCAAACTTACTTTTTCTTTTCTTTTTCCTCCCCAAGAGAGTATTAGAAAGCCTAAAATCTGTTATGAACTGCGTATGTGCCAAAGATGACGTGAACCAATAAATGAGAAGCATTCAACAGTTTCAAAGATGAAAATCGATTATCCACAATGATAATTTTCATGCACGGTTGAAGTAATTAGTAAATGAAGTAACTTGGCTTGTTTCATACCAATGATTCCTTCAATCTCAGGATGAAGAGATTTCAATCCCTTAAAGAATGACTACACGCAGTCATATTAAGCTATAGTGGAAAAAAAAAAACTTATCGATTGATGTGTACAAGTGGCACTATTCAGCAAAGAAGAAGCAGTATCCCCCAAACCAAGGTTAAAGTTAAACCATCCATCCTCTTTGCAGGCGTGCAACAACAGTGGACCCGTTTTGCTCTTTCGATGACATTCTCTTTTCGTAACGCTATGCAGCGACACTTTCTGGCATGGTAGAAGTATTGTTCAAATAGCATCCTAATTGGAGGTCCTCATTAAGATCGCTATGAAGCAGCCTAATAAAGCACCAGCAGCAACCTGTACGCCAAAATAATTGCCACAAACCAGACTACCGACTTAACCATCTATTTAGACGCAGCCAAACATGAATATAGAACTTTATTGCTTCTCTCTAACATAATGGAATTTGAATCTTCTGAAATTTATGTGTCTCTTAGCAAGATAATAAAAACGACATAAATCATGAAAGTGCATATAAAGTCCACTGTCTCTCTTAATAAGCTTCAAATTTTAGAAAATCTAAATACTACAATCCTGGTCCATACACTATCAACAGTTTCAGGACAACCCGATGTTCACGGAAATTTATTCTAGATGAAAGATATTAATCTTTGATAACAAGAAATAAGAAATTTGCTGGTCTGCACACAGTATACTTATTTATGTATTTTCCATATTACCTCCCTCCCTCTCCCCGTTACCATCAACACCAGTTCCTAATAAATCAAAACTTGCAGGAAACACGCTCTTCAACTTATGGAATGTGTAAAATGATAATCACCAGATTCCCATTACCAGTTCGCCATCACCCACCATAAAACTCGCCAAATTAGCATTTCTTGTTACAAAATCATCCTCTAATACAAATAAACCAAAAACAAGTAGTTGCCTGGATTCAGGTAAACAAATAACCAATTACGACTTCACATGGCAGGCAGAGCAAAAGTAAATGATAATTTTTTTTAATAACAAGATATTAAAAATTTATGTTAATTTAAGGATATAAGGAAGCCATGTGCAAATAGAATTTAAAAAATGAACTAATAAATTTCAGAGAAACAAGAAACTAATTGTAATTTGTAAAGATATGAAAAATTTCATTCAATAAATGAATTCCGATTGTGTTCAATAAATGAGTTCAGATGATAAGCAGCTGAAATGCTTGCTCTCTCTGATCATACCACTCATATTGCCATGTTAACTGTCAAATGACTCCACGTCACATAAATTCCCCGGCATTTAATCAGAACTGATCGTAAATCTAAGAAAAGCGATCAGAGCAAGAAATCTCAGCAACAACACCGAATATCCATAAAAAAACACAACAAACCTGAAGAGGAGTATGACCGAGTGAATCACGAAGTGGTCTGACACTGGACAAAGGATGTTCAGGTGGTAGCTCACATACAATTTGATTCAGCAACTGTCATGAAGACAAACATTAAAATGTCACAAAACATATGAAATAAGCATTCATTATATAAGGTGTGTTGGAAGAAGATGAATAACAAAGTCAGATATTAAACTAAAGCAAATCAACAAAATTAACATTAAATAAGAATCTTACTTCTGCCTGCCGACCTGCATGAAGTCTAACTCCTGTTGCATCATACATTACCTGTAAAGTTCTCAAAAAAATTAATCATCCCCACTTCACTGGAAGAAGCACATAGTAATCCAACCAGAAAACATGAAAGCGAGATCATCAAGAGACAAAGATACTTTCGCAGCGGTTAAATCAGTCGTGCCCAGAAGATATATTAGTTTGTTAGGCATTAGTTGGGAGCAAGTAGGAGAGATTACCATTAATAGTTAGGGGCTATACGTAGGTGGCTTAGGACTAATTGTAAACAAGCTTATGTGAGTAATTAAGAAACTGATTCCTTCGTTCTCTCTCCCTTCTCTCTTCTTCCTTTTCTCTCCCCTTTCCTCCGTTCCTCTGTCTTTCCTAGCTTTCTTACTCATCAGGTTACTTATGTATTTTCATCAAAACTACAACCAAGGTGAAGGAAATAATCAGCATGATTTTGTATATTCCAGTGTTTACTGCATAAAATCACAATAGAAAACTTTTTATTATTAAAATAACAGACTCAAACTTTCAGAGTTTGCAAACTATGTATAGGAGAAGCATAGTAAGTTAATCTCAAACTCAGATACATTCTATTCTTTATTAGTCACCATTAGATCTATCATGAAGATCATAAATACGGTAAGGTTTCACAAATATCTCATGATTCATCAGAGACTTTGAGGTTCCAAAAAGAGATCAATTGCACACCAAATAATAGGGTGTAATTATAATTTTCTCTATTTATTCCCCACTGAAATGCAAAACAGCTTAAATAACTAAAATATAGAAATGAAGGCAAAAATGTAAGAAGCTGATTAGTCAGGATAATTGCAGGAAAGGGCCGTATATTTGATCACAAATGAAGAACATACCACACATGCCAAGACTACAGCAACTGCAAAAGCAGGTGACCCTGTTCCCTCTTGGAGACCTATAGCCACTGCTAGAGCTGACACTGTAGCAGAATGTGATGAAGGCATTCCACCTGAATCAAGCATCCTTTTAGAATCCCATCTCCTTTCCTTATACCTGAGTATCTAGGAGGAAAATCTGGAAAACTTGAGCTCATCTTACTTAGGATTGTAGAAACAAAAATGTTTCAAGAGCCTAATGTGCAGGTGCATTATTAGGCATGAAGAACCTCAAGTTTTATAACAGTTGAGAAGTCCAACTTTAACATATCAACAAACACATGCATAAGTCATACGGAATATGAAACTAAAGAGTTAGCTTCACATATAAAACAAGGAAAAGCTTAAATCATGAAACCAATAGATAATATTTTATCTAAACCCCAAGATTATGTGAAATGGTTCTAACTAAAGCAAGTACCTAAATTCTTTGAAGGAGGAAACACAAAAGTTGGTTCAAATTTCAGATAACATTTAATAAAGAAGAAGAAAAAAGCTGCAGCTCCATGGTCTTCCGTTAATAAGAAAATTAAGAGGCGTATAGGTATTAAGGTCTCCCTTTCTTGCTCTCTTTTCTTAATAAAAAATATTACATAATACGGTCAATGCAAACAACACATCCTAGGTATTTTGAATACTAAATTTAATCATCAATCCTTCCTCGAAGGAAAACACAAAACCACTCGTACTTGAAGTAGTAACGTAAAAACTCTAAAAGCATGCCCTGAATTTGCCTGGAAAATTTCCATTTCATTATTCCTTGTATCAGTAGAAATTAGAAAGTATAGAAGAATATCTTCGTTTTCACTGGACCAAGTGACCAACAATAGACACTACATTTAAAACCTCTAGATCTAATATAAAATACCAGCAGCAGCACTGCTCTTCGAATACAAACTTATAGACCTAAAACCGCCACATTCTATGACAATGATGCCTGTCAAAGTTAAATAGAGCTCGAGGAGTTACAAACCCCACTCCATAACAAGGCTTCTGTGTAATAATTGAGACAGTAAACAATTTTCTGTGGCAGCAGGAAAAATACTGAGCTACAAATCAGCAAATAGAAAGCTGGTTGCGGTAAAGATCAAAAACCAAATCTACCGGTCAGCAAAACAATGAAACAAACCAAACATCAATAAAATGAAAGCATCCCAAAAAAGTAAGATCTACATAAACCTTAAAAAGTTAAAAAAAGCGTAAGCACGGACCAGGTGGTGAAGATCTTCAGCAATTGGGCGAGCGCAAATGAGAGAAAAGCTGAGAGAAGGGGAATATTAGATGGAAGCAGGGATGTAGGAGTTGAGGTAGATGACGTCGACTGAGTGGCCGCATTGACATCCGCCATTGTCATCACTTCGTCCATGGAACAAAGGAATAACTGCGAAAAACACAAATTCGATACCAAAATCGCAAGCTCCTTGTCCCCCGGCAACAAGTGGCTTGAGAGAGATGGCTCAGAGTTCGATAAGCGGATGGGATGGGTTTCAGCAAGTGCACGTAGATTGGCCGGTGAATTGACTATCGGGCGATCCAGAGGGAGGAAGTAGCCGATCAATCTCGACGGTGCTCCTACGGACGCTATCTCCGATTGGCCCAGTGAAGCATAAAACTACAATTATTCTGATTCTAGAAGAGGGCGAAAAATAAAAACAAAAACATTTCGCGGATTTTTTTTTTGGCCGAAAAACATTTCGCGGATTAAAGTTTGCAAGTTGAGACAAAATTTAGAGTATTGATTTTATTGTTACCAGTAAAAGTATTAATTTTTTAAAATATAAATTAATGATTGATGGATGGATCACAGTGAGCAATCACTAAAAAATGGCTATGCAATTTTTTTTATAATTTTTTGTAACCAACGTGCTGTATTTTAGCTCGAGAAAAATGACAAATCTTAGGAAGATTTTTCTATGAAACCGTATATAATGAAGATTGGCTGGTAAAAAATATATATACTGAAGATTGAAACTAGTTTTCATAAAAACAAAGCAAATAATAATATTTTCTAATAAGGATTGAACGCTAAAATGTCAACGTGCCTGATTCTCCCAGTATAAGCTAAGTCCTTAGCCGTGATCACAAGCATGTAAAGAGGTTTCAAAAACTTCCAAGAAGTTGCAATTCGGAAAACTTTAAGCAGACAAAGACAACATAATTCTCCCTCCTTTTTGTATGATTGATACAGGAGAAAGGTATCTATTTCTAGGGGGGGGAAATAAGAAAAAGGCATCTAAGCGAATAAGATCCTTAGCCAAATCATAAAACGACATTGAAAATTTTATTGGTGATAGTGAATTAGATCATAATATTAATATTCTGTGTATACAAAATTTGTAGAATATTTCCTGTCACGTCTCACCAATAAGATTTTTAATAAAATTCTAATTTTTGGATTATAAAACCCCATCCCCACCTATTTAAGTATCTGTTTGGGATAGCGGTAGAAATCTTATATAAGTATGTTTCACATAAGTCAAGACAAAACTCTTTTCATATACTTATTTTGTATTCCATAAATTATTATTAAAAAACTACTTATAAGCTTTTTTAAACGGGCCGAAAATGCGAGACAAACTTAACGTGTCTGCACAAGAAACCACCCACTTCACTTTCAATTTTGCCTTCGACATCTTTTTAATCTATATTTTCATTTTTGTAATACAGTTGAATCGAAGCGAAGAGTCAAGAGAATCATATTATTAATTGGATATACATGCAGCTAGTTATAGAAAAACCTTAGAAATGTGTTGAAGATCAGGATGTCATGTTATCTTCAGGTTGAATTATTAGTTTCTCCACCAGCTAGCTTCTTGAAATTGGTGGCATTTTATTGGCCCAAAAAAAAATGGTGGTATTTTCGTCAGCCTCGGAAGAATCTGTATGAATCATTAGTAACCGCCCAAATACCTGCGGATGTCTCATTAAAAATACAGAAGACAACCTCGACGAAGTTAAGCATCTAGGGCGAAGACGTACAAGAAAGACTCCCAAGAGAAAAGGTAGAAAACCTGAATTGGATTTGGTTTTTTTTTTGGGGGGGGGGGGGGTTAGAGCTTTTTTTTTTTTTTTGATAAAACAAGGTTACAATCAGAAACTAACTAACAGAAACAATATCATGCAAATGAAACGCTGCATCCATCTTCAGCAAGGCAATCACTCTGTCAGGAGGAGAGGAAAGAACATGGAAATCAGTCAACATAGTCCAAGCTTCCGCGGCCAAGGCAAACCTAGGGCCTTTGAGGTTTGCTACCGTGCAAGAAAAGAAAGAGAACCTGTATAAACGCAAACTTCATGTGATCAAGAAGAATCTTATTTAATTACGTCCATTTGAATTACTACTCAATGAAAACTCTTTTAGTCTCTACAGTAAATATAAATACTACTCCCGATCCTTAGTATAAGAGTTTATTTAACTTTTATTTTGATCTTAAATATATGATCCCAATTCATTTTATCTCTCATATTTATCCATCATTTTTCAAAGTAGTCCTTGAAAGAATGGTAGTTTTAGTTAATATACTTGATTAGCAAGGATATTTTAAGAAAAACAATACCTATTTATTACAAATAATTAATTTAAGTAAATTTCTTAATATGCTCGAATTAGTTATCTAATTCTTATATTAAGAATCGGAGATAATAGTTTAGAAAACATTTATAAATATTAAGAATAAAGCAAAATAAAATTTTATATTTAAAATAAATCCAACTATCTCAAAGATGGGAATGAGTAGCTTGAGGTAGAGCATGCTTTTAACTCTCTCTTTTGTTCTTTTTGTTAATAAGAACGAGTAGCCAAACAAAAACTGACGAAGTAGCCCGTCCTGGGCCAAGAACAAGAGCACAACGCGACGACGCACAAGTGCTCATTTTGGGACTTGCTTGAGTTTCTCGGTATAAAAATTAGTTTAATATTAAACTTAAAATATAAAACTTTAATTGATTTTATTTTTTATATTTATTTATTTTTTTAAGGTAGTTCTCGTAGTAACTGTATATGTTAAATATTTTATCAGTTCTAACTAATATATATTATTAATAAGAGTATTTTAGGAAAAACAACACATATTTATTACAAATAATTAACTTAATTAATTTTTAATCTACTCAATTTAGCCAACTAATAGCTTTTATATTAATGACTAAGATAGTGCTACCATTAAGCACTTCTATGTAAGTCAAATTACTTTTGAAAGCTAGAAATAAAAATGACGGAAATATACCAGAATAAGAACCCACTGTCGAAACACCTTTGGCCATACATCAGGCTTAAAAAATAGAATAATACTCTTCTGGTTTTAAATAAAAAACTAATATTATATTATATTATATTATAAAATGAATATTATATTTAGAATTAAATGACTAAGTGTTTGCAGCAAAAACCAATCATAATTGCTCTTATTAGGTAATAATAATATAATAATATACCATAAGTGACAAAACTGGAAAGTTAATTGGACCAAGCTTGTTGCCTTTTTCTGGACTTTACAAAGATGAACAATTTTTCTGTGAGACAGATCACGCGTGCGTCGTCAGCGCCTGGGAACCAAAGTGAAAATCTGTAATAAGTAATAACTACGTTGAAGAGAGGCTATAGAGGATCAAATTCAAAATTACTCTATTCACAAGAAATGAAAATAATATTTCATTCATGAAATGATCAAGGGATTAGGTTTAGCTTGATCTATTAATGATTTTTTCCCCAAAATATGTTAGTTGCAGAAAAAATTAATAGAAGATGCCATTATAAAGGCCAATGAAAAAGCCTGCTTACTCACCACCAGGTAGGCTCCTTTGTTCTGTTCGACAAACACGTCTGCAAGTGCAAGGCTTATCAGAAGACAACATTCACGTGACTACACCCGTAGATTAGAGTTTCCTAGTTTAGATAATAAATTATAAATCATGTTTAATTATATTACATAATTACCCATTCAATACCTTATTTTTCATCAAGACATTTTTTTTTTGGCAAGAATTTTCCTTTGAGATGGAACCTGACAATTCACAACTATAAACTATTATTAAAATATTTTATCGAATAATTTTTTTACCATAGTTATTAAAATCATGATAATTTTATAAAATACTACCTCCAGTCCTTAATACCACCTCCGGTTCTATTTATAAGAGCTAGTTGACTAATTTAAAGAGATTAAGGAAAGGAGTTAAGTTAGTTATTTGTAATAAATAGCTATTATCTTTCCTAAAATATCCTTACTAATCAAGTGTATTAGTTAGAGCTATTATTGTTAGAAGGACTATCTTGGAAAAAAATACATAAATATGAGAGATAAAATGGATTGGGGTCTTATAGTTATGACGAAAATAAAAGTCAAACAAGGTCTTATATTAAGGACTAGAGGTAGCATAAGACATAGTTTGACTTTTATTTTAGTCCTAAATATAAAACTTCAATCTATTTTGTCTCTTATATTTATCTATTTTTTCTAAGATAGTTTTTCTAATAATGATAGTTCTAACCAATAAACTTGATTGGTAAAGGCATTTAAAGAAAGATAACATATATTTATTATAAATAATTAACTTAATTTATTTTTATAATCCATTCAAATTAATAAATTAGTTTTTATATTTAGGACAAGAGCTAAAGCTAGTATTAGACTTAGGGGGTGTTTGGCTAACCCCAGAAGTGCTTCTTAGAAGCACATTTTCATAAATCGAGACAAATTCCTTCACATATTTACTTCGTATACCATAAAAATACTTCTAAAACTATGATTTTATTCTTACTCAAACACCTTAGAGCATTAAAATTTTAATTTGGTGGTAAAACCGTAGAAGGCAAAAGAGAACTCCTCTCCCACCACGTCCGGTGTCTTTTTGTCTGGCTTCTATCTTCACTCTCTTATCCGCACTCATCTTTCTCCTCTATACTGTTGTCCTTTATATTCAGATTTCTGATCATACGCCGCCGTCAATCACAACAAAAAAGGAGAAAAACTAAAAGCATGTCCTCCCCATCTTCAGATCATTCTTCCACTGTTCACCCTCCTCCATATGTAGTGGACGACTGTCGCGGCGTCCTTCAAGTTTACAGCGACGGTTCCATCGTGCGCTCTTCAAAGCCAAGCTTCAACGTTCCCGTACACGACGACGGCTCTGTTCTGTGGAAAGATGTCGTTTTCGAACCCACCCATAACCTTCAGCTTCGTCTCTATAAACCCGCTGATTCCTCTTCCTCCTCCAAGCTTCCGATTTTCTACTATATCCACGGTGGTGGCTTCTGCATCGGCTCCTTTACCTGGCCCAACTTTCACAACTACTGCCTCCGTCTCTCTTCGGAGCTCAGAGCCGTCGTCATCGCGCCGGACTATCGGCTGGCTCCGGAGAACCGACTGCCGGCCGCTATGGATGACGCATTCGCGGCGGTCAAGTGGCTCCAGGCTCAAGCCACCAGCAATGACCCGGATCCGTGGCTGACCGAAGTGGCCGATTTCGATCGGGTGTTCATTTCAGGCGACTCCGCGGGCGGAAACCTTGCTCACTATCTGGCGGTTCGGCTGGGTCGCGGGTCGCCCGAGATGGCGCCGCTTCGGGTCAGAGGCTACCTCCTCTTGGCACCCTTCTTTAGCGGCAACGCAAGAACCCAATTGGAGGCTGAAGGTCCAAAAGACGCTTTCCTCAATTTAGAACTCATGGACAGGTTCGTGGATTATGAATTTCTCGTGTTAACTTGTTTGATATATCACACTTTCGTTCAAAAACTTTACATAGAAGACGTTCAAATCTCCAATTGCTCAGTTTCTGTGTGTCTGTTTTTTGTGTAATGAATCAGATTTTGGAGGCTTTCTGTGCCGATTGGAGCTGACAGGGATCATCCCCTTGTGAATCCATTTGGGCCATCGAGCAAGAGCCTTGAAGGCATTGATCTGGATCCAATACTAGTGATTGTTGGAACAAGTGATTTGCTGAGAGATAGGTGCAAGGATTACGCAGATAGGCTTAAGAACTGGAGGAAGAACATAGAATATGCAGAATTTGAAGGAATGCAACATGGATTCTTCACTGTCGATCCTAATTCAGAAGATGCAAATAGGTTGATGGTAATCATCAAACAATTCGTAGAGAAACATTCATTCTGAATCTGAATTATTCAGCCAGTCTCGCAGCTCCTGATTATCCCTGCCAAAGCTTGTGGGGCTTTCACTATCAGTATTTTCCAATAAGGTTCTTGTCACAAGTGAACCAGTGAACCAGAACCGTGCTATATTACTTACATGGTTAATGCGTGTGTTCTCTAAGTATTGCTGGGACAAGTCGCCCGACGAGTGAATTCATGGAATGTTTTCTACTTTCTAGTTTGCAGATGCTCGGGGGTACCTCGGAGTCATTTATAATCGAAGGGGAGTTTGACAAACCCAAAAGCACTTCAAAAATCGTTTCAAGCCAGAATTTTTCTTACATAACTAATTTTGTACAATCATTTTTAAAAAAACTAATCTAAATATGCCTAAGTACATCCAAAATACGTTCAAAAGACTAAGGTCACGTTTGGTATGAAGTATTAAAAATGAAGGATAAGAATTAAGATTTGAGTTGAAAAAATCTATTATAGAAGTGTTTAGTATTAGAGATTGTTTGTTATATGGTAGTAGACAAACTCATGTTTGTGGGATTAAAAAATATTATAGGAGAAGATGGTATTCACCAATCCTATCTCCACGAATTTATCTAATCTCATATAAAAAACAACTATTCATATTAAATACTATTTTAATAATTTTTTTAATTTTAATCTCAGTCATTATCCCTTATTTTTAATGTCTCGTACCAAACGAGACCTAAAAGTTTGGTGGAATATGCATTGTTATTAACATAAAGACAATGTCCACATCAAGTTACTTATATTTATTGTGTCAAATTTTTCAATCACACATAATCATATATCTTATTTTTAAAATATTATCACTTGATAATATTTAATTATAAATCCACACAAAATTAAAAAAAAGACACATGGTGATATGTGATTAAAAAATTTGATGTAATGGACATAAAGAATTTGATTTGATTGGCACGTTATTTGCTATTTAATCCGCGATGGTCAAATATTTTTTTTCTTTTTTTGTTGAGCCAGCGATCAAATATCAAGCTGAGAATTAGACATTTGGATTTATTTTATGGTCTGGACAGAATCATTTTCCGAGCATCAAAGGTTATTTATACCTTCTAACTGTGTCCAATTGTCAATATCATTGACGAGATACTACTGTGTTCATAAACTTGTTTTATGTTTGTGTTAGGTCACCGTGATTCAAGAATTCATCTTTTTCGTGGTAGGAAAATCAAGATTTTATCTTTGTATTGTTCATTGTCACTTGTTTTGGGTGAAACTATTTCTTTTTTTAATATTCCACGGTTCCACCGAGCATAAATTAGGATTGGATGGCGGGGGGGAAAAGGCATAAACGAGAGTCGAAGAGAAAGCAAATCAAGCAATCTCCCCGGATTTTGTTCGAATTGATTCTTCATGTATAGGTTCGTTCACAGTGGAAACATTATTACGAGGATCAACGGGCAACGGCCAACCAGAACAAGTATAAGTTTTTTTTTTTTTAAATAACTAGGAGAATTTCAAATTATTTTAGACTTGAGATTAATCTGTCAGACTTAAAATGTTAAGATTAAAACCTTTCTGACAAACATCTTTGTCAGAATTCCAATTTGTATGCTTCTTTTTATTGTGTGACGCCACTTAAACTTTTATTTCTTCCCCATTTAAAAGAACAAGCAAAAGCTTGTTTTACACTCCAGTATTCTTCCTTTTTCTTTTTTTCTTTTTACTGAACCATAATTTTAAATTATTTTCAAAATATGAAATTATAAAGTAAATAAATAATCAAATTCTAATTCCTAAAATTTGATCTAAACAATTTAAAAACTGCGATTAAAAAAATAATCTATAAAACATCAAATCTAAAACTTTTGGGAACATATTCAAAGACAGACTCCTCAAATATGCTTCGTACACTGCATCCAAAAAAAAAATATGCTTCGTACACAAGCAAAAAATTCCTTATTCAATCCGCTTCCTCTCCAAAATGATTCCTGTTTTGGTGAAAAAAATCACTTCCGCTCCATCTCTTGCTCAAAGTTACACATGTCCTTGAGTGTTCATAGCTCATAAGACCTCTGATTAGATGTTGGTGAAACCTTTAAAATGGCCCCATTTTATCCCCACAACAATAAAAGTGATTAGTTAAATATTGACAACGGATTCAAACATTTTATGATCCACAACCAATTTTCTGCATGTCCAACATAATTGTGGCAAGCTTTCCCTTTCCAAGTTCCAATGATTTTTGAAGCCATTGGAAAAACTACCTTCAGTTTTCAATGTTTTTCCTTTTGTGTGTATATTATAGAGTCGGGAAAACGGATCGAGCCCGTCGGGCCAGCCCGTTTAGGCCTTGAAATAACGAGGGCCGGATTTGATATTTTTCTCTTAAAATGAGAAATAAACCCTGGAGGGTCGAGGGCTTAAAAGGGCCGGCCCTTTTAAGCATTTTATAATTTTTTTAATTTTTAAATTTTTTTATATAATATTAATGTTATTAATTTTTTACATTGTTAATAATATTTCAAATATTTAGTTATTATTATCATTTTAAAATTAAATTTAGTTTTAGACAATAATTTATCCAGTTAAATTTTTAAAAAATGGGTTAATTTGGACTTTAATAATGATTTGATTTATATTATATGCGTTGATATTTTTAAACTATATATATTTGATAATAGAATATTTTTATACTTATATGACTTGTGATTCTATAATTTGAATTAGAAATTCATGAGTTTCAACAACAATGTTTCTCACATTAAAGTAAAATAATAGTTAGATTGCAAAATTTAAAAATAAAATTCTTATAAAGAAGAAAAACTTGATATTTTTGTTATGAAAGAAAAACATACTTATGAAGAAAAGTAATTAATTATAGTGATGATGAAGTTTAAAAAGATTAATGATAGTGTTTATTTATTGCACAATTGCATTATAGATAAAACTTTTAGATGTTGTTATCTTGTTAATGAATGTTTTAGATATTCTTACATGTTGATGAATATTTATATATGATGATATTTTATATTTGTGACTTAATTTTATTCATATTTATATCTTTTATTAATAATTTTATTGGTTTATTTTTATATTTTTATAAAAATATGATAAATATAAAAAATAGTATTTTTTCTTAAACGGGTTAAAAGCCCGCGGGTCGGCTCTAGCCCTGTAGCTTAAGAATCGAGCCTAGCAAATTAGAATATTTTTAAAATTTCAGCTTTAGAGGGCCGGCCTGATTTCCAGCTCTAGTGGACAATGGAGGCCAAATGCTTTGAGATACAGGAAACTGCCAACGTCATATACTTTCATGGTAAGATTGCCTTTTTAACTCTAAATCTTAACATCCACAAACTGAAAAAGCATTAGGAATCGTAACCCAAGTCCCCAACCATAGAGAAATGTATTAGCAGAGCGAACAGGAAAAGGGCAAGATGGTAACTTCCGGGCGGCACGCGGCATATTCGACTTTTCCTTGGTAAATGGCAATCTCCTTCGGAGTCCAACCTCTTTCAGGTTTGGTGGGCGGGCGGTATTTGTGAATCCGACCTCAACTTGTTCTCGTCTCCTTGCTTTTAAATTCAAGATTGTTCTGTTTTAATTTCATCATCCAAACAACCCCTTCAATTCTCTCCCATCTTCTATCTTTCCATATCCAGAATAACGGGAAAAAAATTGGCCATAACTGTTCTGCTCTTGATCTGTTAAGTTGTTTGTTTATATTGGCTGGATTGGGTAGCCAAAATGTACAACTCTATGATGGATCCTGAGATGATCAGAATCGCTCAGGAGCAGATGAGTCGCATGTCACCCGCCGAGTTTGCTCGGATCCAACAGCAGGTCATCTTCTTTCCTTCGTTGATTTCGTGTTTTTAGTACCTATCTTTCTGAAACTGTCATAACTGTAAATGTAATTTCCTTCACCCCGTTTCGTTGGATTCGTGGATTCAAAGTGAGACCGATCCATTGTGAACTTGATGCTGTTGGATGGGGAATCGATGTATCTCAGTAATATGTCCTTTTGGTAAAAGGGAAAAGGCGCAAGTTTAGGTATTGGTGACGTAGCAGAAGTGCTGTTCCTAAGGAGGATTTCTTATAAATTCATAGATGTAAAGATGCGTATGGTATATGGCTAAAGAATGATGATAAAAGTTTTGTTTTTTGTTTTTTTGTTTTAAATCTTTAGCCTGTGTGAAGTGATCATGTCTCCTCTACTCTGAATTTCGAAATCCTTATTTGGAATTTGACTTGATGGCACATTATATCTCGAGACGGAAAACGAAGTGCGCAAGTTTAATTTAACCCAAATGTCAAAATGAGAGAAGGCATTTGATACCAACAAACTGTTTCCCTAGTCTTTCAAGAGGTTGTTGCCATGAATTAAATCATGCATGGTAAGTAAAACTCATCCTCTGTTGTTTTATGTTCATCGTGTGAAAATGGAATTTCAGATGATGTCTAATCCAGAGTTAATGAGGATGGCCTCAGAAAGCATGAAGAACATGAGGCCTGAAGATTTCAAACTTGCTGCAGAGCAGTTAAAACATACTCGCCCTGAACAGATGGCTGAGATTGGTGAAAAGATGGCAAATGCAACACCTGAAGAAATTGCAGCTATGCGTGCCCATGCTGATGCGCAGATTAAATATCAAATAAGTGCCGCTGAGATGTTGAAGAAGCAGGTGCGTAGCATTAGTCTTTAGGAATAAATAATCAATATTATCTTCTCAAGTATTAATCGGCAGTCAGAGGCTTTTAAAGCGATGAAGTATGTGCCACTTGAGAATTGAGATTAATCCAAGTTGAAAGAGAAAACCAAGACTGAGGGCTAGGACGAAGTCCCAAAAATTACAATCTGTTCTTCTCATTTGAAGAATATTATGATCATAAGTTAGCCCCTGAAGGCCAAAATTCAGATTCATAACCTCTTTCAACTCAAAGAAAGTTTCTTATATCCTAGCTTAGTTCCAAAGTAGCGTCTGGTCAGATAATTCAATTGCATCATTACATTATAGGGTAGGAAATGACACTCCATCTGTTGAACTAGGTGCCTTTGTGGACTAAAATTAAAATTTGCAGGGCAATGAACTTCACAGTCAGGGAAAATTCCATGAAGCTATGCAGAAGTATTGTCTTGTAAGTGGTCTTTTGCGACTTTTAATTGTTTCGTAATCTCTCCCCTTTTTTTCTCTCTGCCTCTGTTTCTGTATGAGATCCTTCACGCCAGTCATCTATTAATCAGTTTTAGAGGAGTGATTTCTTGCGTTCAATTTATCTTCTAGGCCAAGCAAAACAGTAGAGAAATTCCATCCTCTCAAAGTAGAAAGCTTCTTTTAGCATGCTCACTGAACTTGATGTCTTGCTACGTGAAGACAGGGCAGTATGATGAATGTGTAAAAGAAGGTTCTGAGGTAACTATACATTCTTTTATCGATGTTACTTGTTAACTATAACTACAATAATCAGGTATAATATTTAAGTAGCAGTGATATGGGGATAATAGTCTGCAAGATGATAGAAAATGGTAGGAAAAAAACTAACAGTGTGATTATAACATGTAAGAAAATTTCTCCCTTTTTGTTGCATATGTAACAAGACAAAGGGTGTATTGTATTATATTATCATCTTTATTGTATTATAATCATAATTATTGTAATTAGGCTTTTATAATTGGAAATTTTACAATAATGCATTATTGTGCTTAACTGCTCTCAACTGTAGGTTTTGGCTTATGATGCAAAAAATCTTAAAGCTCTTTACCGGAGAGGTCAAGCATATAAGGAACTTGGTCTACTAAAGGTGTGCTTCTGCTCTTTATATTAGGATTTTGTTGTTCTAATATGCTTATTTTATTTGCTGATATCCTTAATTCTTTTAGGATGCCGTTAATGATTTGAGCATGGCATATGAAGTTTGCCCAGATGATGATACAGTTGCAAAGCTTTTGAGGTTCAATGCTGCTCTCTTCCACTGCATGCATCTTTCTTCTAATGAAATGTTCTTTGATCTCATATATGATATGCGCCACTATCTATATGTTTATAGCCTTTTGTGATTGATGAACCTGTGAATATTTTCATTAGATATTACTATAATTACAATGTAAGCAACGGATGGTCTGCCAGTTCAAGTATACGTGTGATGTGTTTTCAATTTTCTTTTCTGTCATCGAGCATCTTGCAGTTGGTTTTATAGCCTATTAAATAAAGGAATGTTTATGGGAAAAAAGTTGGTGTCTGTTTTCCATTCACCCTCCAAAATAATAAGAAGATGGATGTATGAGATTTAAAGTTTGGAAGTTTGAACACTATTTTTCTATTTGGTAGAAAAGGGATTGACCTGTTGTTTTTTTGCATTGAATGTTCACATCAGGGAGACCAAGGAAATGTTGGCAGAGGATGATGGCGAGCATGCACCTAGAGGTAAGTTCCTTTCCTCCCAGCCCACCCCCCTCAAACAAAAAACAAAAGTACAAGAAACTTATTTTTTTCCATTTACTCTGTCCCAATCCCCTTAACTTTAAAGTTTCAAGGGATGAGAGATTTATTTCCTATGTTTTAGGATTAGTAATTGAAGAAATAATTGAAGAAGATCAGAATGTTCCGGCACAAAACTTTGGAAGCTCATCTGTGGAACAACCAGTGGTTCAGCCAAAAACTTCCAATGAGTCTTCTAAGACTTCCAGTGCATTCATCAATGAAAAGTTAAAATCAAATATGGAGGGCTTAAATGCATTGAAAAATGATCCTCAAGCTATCAGGTAAGTTAGCATTTCTGAGAGATAGTGAGCCCCGTTTGTTTTAAATATTCACTCGCCTTTTGGGTTGACAGAGCTATAAGTATTTCATTAGCTATTGTCAAACTAATCTATGATGAAACCTAATATCTCGATATGTATTCTTTACAACCTATGACGTAGCCCCAATTTACATGGAGGTAATAATAAGTTATTTGCCGCCTTTTGTTGGCAATTTTTTAGGCAGAGGGGGTGGGCTAGTTGAACTACTTGTTCGAAGTTTGCTGCTTTGTGAACGTCTGGTTAGATTTTGAAGTGACATTTATCTTTCCAAAACACTTTATTGATGTGCATGTTGGGAATTCCTGAAACCTCACCTTTCATGGCTCCTTCTAATAGATTGCCTGTTGGACCTGCGTTGGTCCCTTTCTCTTCTGGCAGTTATTTCTGGGCCCAATGTTAGGTTCATGATTGTGCTTGTTTATCATATTTTGGTAGTTGATCCTTTCTAATTATGCAAGATTTCATGCCATACTGACATGAAATATTCATCAATTCCCTTGTTCCGTCATCCTATACTTATATTTACTGCTAATTGGTGTCTGTGAAATAATTTGACTCCCCCCCCCCCCCAACAGGTCATTCCAAAATTTCATTTCAAATGCTGACCCTGCCACTCTTGCTTCTCTGAATGCGGGACAATCCAAAGATGTTTCTCCTGATATGATTAGAACTGCCTCAGACATGATTAGCAAGATATCGCCACAGGAACTTCAAAAAATGCTTGACATGGCTTCCTCGTATCAGGGGGACAGCCCATTTTTAAGAGGTTCCCCTGGTTCTACTGTCAACTCTGGATCAATTCCTCCAAATGTGACTCCTGACATGTTTAAAACAGCTTCTGATATGATAAGTAAAATGCCACCGGCGGATCTTCAGAAGATGTTTGAAATGGCTTCCTCATTATCCGGGAAAGCATCTAGCTCATCATCTGCAGCTGTAGACAAGAATGTGAGAAATGCTTATCAGCCAAACATCCCCTCCTCGAATGCTAATGGAAGTAATGCTTTTGCTGAATCAAGTTCTTCGCATGATTCGTTTTTAAATATGAGAAATGCTGCTCAGTTGAACGTCCCATCCTCAAGTACTGATTTGCAAGAACAGATGAAAAACCAGATGAAAGATCCAGCAATGCGACAGGTATGAACGTCCTTTTCTTATTCACATCACATGGGATAGGTAGGATGCAGTTGAACTGTTGTCCTTGAGTTCTTCAATTCTCACGTGTAATAATAAGACAATTTGATTAATTGTGCCTGCACTTTATTGCTTTAATGTGCCTTGCTCTTATCTTCGTGGTCCTTAGCTCAAGGCTTATTATTTATACATTATTTACGTCTTTTGCTGTCAAATAATGCAATGGGGATAGATTTTGTATTTGATTCCATTTCTTCATTAAATGTTTACTTGCTTTATATATGTATTCCTATTAATTTGTAGTTGCCATATTGTCTTGGCAGATGTTTACATCAATGATAAAAAATATGAGCCCAGAAATGATGGCGAACATGGGGGAACAATTTGGTGTTAAGCTTTCAAAAGAAGATGCAGCAAAAGCTCAGCAAGCCATGTCATCCTTGTCACCAGAGGACTTGGATAGAATGGTACTTTCTTTTCCGGAGTTTACTTTAGCGTCCTTATATTTCGTCCATTTATAAAATTATGTTGTCGAGATGAATAAGCTTAGATGGATGCCACAATACAAAGACAACACCAAAACAAACGAACCAAAAAAAAACGAAAATACCTGTCATTCTATAATGAGATGAGCAGTAATTATCTAAAAATTATTTGAGCTTGTAAAATATAGTTGGCTAATTTATTTATTTGGTAATTTCACAGTCAAGGCTGCTCTGTTTCTTGAAATAGAAAATTACAAGGTAGCATAAATGATCTGACCAAGCTGAGAGCGGGTGTCTAAACTGTTTGTAGCTTAACTGCCTCAGTGCAGCTTCATTAGTCATTAGACTTTTTGGTTGTTTCATGCAATTTAAAATGTCGCTTTGTTAGTCTGACACGTGTCAGGCATTAACACGTAAGTCCGCATCCTTCTCAGCATTAGCACGTGTCAGGCATTAAAATGTCGCTTTGTTTCATGCAATTTAAACTATTTGGTTGCAGATGCGATGGGCTGATCGGGTTCAAAGAGGAGTTGAAGGTGCAAAGAATACAAAGAATTGGCTACTAGGAAAAGGTGGTTTGATAATGGCAGTAGTCATGCTCATTTTAGCAGCAATTTTTCATCGGCTAGGCTTCATTGGTGGCTAGAATAAGAGACATGTACATTCTAGGACGTCCTGATTTGGGTGTTCGAGAGGATTCCAAGGGCTGCCTTCGAGGGCAGTGGATATGAGTTTATCAGTTTTTTTGGGAGGAGAAAAGGAGGGTTCAAAAGGGGAAGATCGCGTAGTTAATGATTAATGTGTTTACTCCATGTTTTTGGTGGAAATCTTTTGATTTGATTTTGATCCGTTGTATCTTTTGGTGGCTCTGACTAGATGGGGTAGGCGATGAAATTGACAAAAATGTCATCTCATCGGGGGATTGACTCTGGTTTTTTAACCTCTCTCTTTTGTAAAATATTAGCGGAGCTGCACTAGCATTGTGACCCCTACTATTAAATCAATTTGATGGCAATAAACTGATTAGGCATCCGGATCATCTGCCGTGCATTGTTTTATCTAATCTAGTGTGTGAGATTCAATCGTATGTTTTATCGCATGCCCCGACCCCATTTTATCTAATCTAACAAGTTAATCCAATCTCACGACTCACTTATGAATGTATAGTTCATTAGTCATCCTGTGACTTCACTGACTTGTGACGATGCTCTGAGGTGCGTCACTAAGAAAGATTTTAGAGCCGGAGGAGTATTATCTATATAGAATATAAGAAAAAAATTTGTACTGCTTGTATGAGAAATTTGAAAAACACATGATATTTCTGTGTTGTTAGACAGAAAAAGTATATGAAATTGTATTTTTCAGCTCATCTTGAACCCGTTTCTAATTAATAAAAATATCACAAGCAGGCAGGCTAGTCTGGTGGATGCATGAAGCTTGGCCCGAAAAGAAAGAGGATGCATCAAGGAACAGATTGATACGTGTCGAATAGTGAACAAATGACATGGGCGAGTGACGTGGAATAGATAAACATGCCAGTTTGGCATATTCCAGGGATTCTGACAACTCGTCCTGGCTCAAAAAAAAAAAATCTTACTCATTTTTTTAAAAATTTCTAGTTTGAAGCATTTATGCAATATAATAACAATATTAATTAAAGAAAAATCGTCAAACTAGTTGTGTCAACAAATATAAGTTATTTCTCTTTAACTATATTTGCTTGAAATTTATATGGAAACCACATGAGGGTAAGTGGTGATGGTACAGTCATGTGCTTCTTTCTCAGCAATTGACGACAAAACTAGCGAAGAAGGTAGCAAGAGCAAGACCAAACACATTCGAGACATATCATTCCACACACAGGCGTTCCAAAGTAATTAGACTTTTGCCAGCTTCACGGGCAGCATTTTCACTTTCAAGCAGAGATGAGGTCATGTTTCAGAGAAAAGCACCGAGGAAAACCACATGGGGGCTTTTTTTTCTTTTTTTTCCCCTGTTTCGTATTTCTTTGGCAGGGTTGAACCAAACAAAGCCTAAATGTAAGTAATTGCGGAGACATGTTTGACATCAAACAGTTGCCATTTCTCTATAAACGTTCTTCACAAAAAATGGCTGATTTGGTGGTTCATACCTTGTAAAACAAACAAGTGGGGCCATTCTTGTGCCTTCTGGATCTTCTTCTCAATAATTAGCAGTCATGTCCTGTCTCATACACGGTTTCCCTTGTGATCATCCACCTGTCTGACCCCGTGCTGACTCACACCCTCCCTCCCCCGCTCATGCCGCTTTCTTTCATATTGAACGTTTCACCTCAACTTAATCATTGCTTACAAACAGTCTAGTCACTAAAAAAGTCTCACAACAAACTATTAGCATGCCCTTTTTGTTGTAAAATTTTTAGTAATTGAAGTGTTAGTATAGGATTGTACAGCAGATTTACTTAATAAAAAGGGCGCACACGATCTTTTTTTTAATCATTTATTTAGCATACCGCCCGGCATAAATGGATATAATTATGCATAATATAAACTCGTAACAGAAATAATGTTAACTTGATTGTTGATTAATGTAGACAATTGTCATAATATTTTTCAGGGTTAAATTGTACTTCTCCGATCCTTAATATAGGACCCAATTATTAAGTTAGTTTTGGTCCTAAATATAAGAACCATTTATCATATTTATCAATTTTTTTTAAATTATCCCTATGGATACCTCCTCAACCATAATCAAGTAGAAGAGGAAGAGGGATATTAAAAAAGATGATTATGATATTTTAAGAAAAACGTGTCACATTTCTTATAATCAACTAACTTACTTAAGTTTCTTAATCTAATCAAATTAGTTAAATGAGTCTTATATTAAGGATCGGAGGAGTATTAAAAAAATAACGGAGGAGTCCTATTTTTGGGAGGAGCATGGGATAACGGCTTGCGAAAGAATAGCCAAAAGAAATGATCTAGAACACCAAATCAATCAGTGAGAATCCCATCCCAATAGCCAGTTATAGAAAGAGGGAGGACTCGGGAACTAACAAGTGAGGACATCACACCAAACACAACACGCAATAAAACGCCCCCTCTGCTTTTCTTGGCCTATATACACACAATGCAAACGCGCGCACATAGCATGAAGTTGGCTCCGTTAACAAAATCGAGTAGTGATCCCGAGCCTAGTGAATCCTCTGTTACGCTATTTTCATTTTCCTCTCTCCCTAACGACCCACGCGTCCACCCCCCTTCTCCCACGAAATCTTTCAATCCCGCTATTTGTTCTTTAGCCCCCTTCCCTTTCGTCTCCCTGTTCTCTTTTACTCTTTTCATATCTCAGATTTCTCGTCTCTCCTCTCTTTTCCGGGGAAAGATATCGTTAATTTTCTGGGAAAATTGTGTCCTCTTTTCTTTTCTCTCTTTTTGATGGAGTTTACGTAGGCATCAACCGCCTCAGCGCCTAACCCTTTGACCGATTGTATTTTGTCGATAATTTTAATAGCATTGCCTGATTAATCCTTCCTTTCTCGGTTCATCCGTTTTGATTTTGCTTTTGTTCCGCCGATATTTTTATAGTTGTCTTTGAATTAGAGAGAAAGCTCTGATAAAATCATTGATGACTCGGCAATTGGTGCCGCAACCAACGCCAGCGGCGCCGCGAGGGAATCGTCGGGCAGGAGAGATTGCCGGTGGGACGGCGGCGGAGTGCGCCGCTGTATGTTGCTGTTGTCCGTGCGCGGTCGTCAACATATTGGTGTTGGCGGTGTACAGGGTTCCGGCGGGGCTGTGCAAGAAGGCTATTCGCCGGAGAAAACGGCAGCGTTTGCAGAAGATGAAAAACAAGATGTACTTGCAGCAACAGTGTTCCGACAATAGCAACGCGATTATCACGCTGGAGCAATGCCTATCGGAGGAGATGAAGACCTGCGGCATCGCCGACGCGGCGGAGAAGGTGGAAGGAGGATCGGAGGCCGATGAGTTGGAGAAGGAGATGTGGGCCCGGTTCCATGGAACCGGATTCTGGAGGAGCTCTTCTCGACGGCTAGAAGCGTAACTGCAAAACGGGGTGGTTGTTTCCGTGTGCGCAGGGCCCCAAGTGGCTCCGGTAATCCGATTGGTCTCTTCGCGAGGTATCCGACACGTGTTAGCATTCTATTGAATGTTGAACCGCACGAAGTTGTGAACTGCGTTTCAATTGTGAATCCTGAAGATAAAACACCTGAAGTACATCATAACCTCGTGTGTATGCAAGCACGCGAATTATACATTCTCTAGAATGTTTCGTGCGTTACGGTTTCCGAAGCTCAAAGGCCATTTGCCCAGAGGGGGGAAAAAAAAAAGACCTTGTAGCCATGGGCAATGGAGAAGTTTCACCGCTTCAGAGATGGAGATGTTTAATTTGTGCCCAGTAGGTTGAGTTTTCATAATCAACTTAATTCACATTTTGCAGGCAAAATCCTTATAATGCTAGCAAAAGTTCATCTTGTAACGAAAAAGCGTCTCATTATATCTATTGATCGCGGTGAAAAATTGCGTGAGTTATGGTGAGGGGAAAAAAAAATTCGGTTTTGACGTTGATAAAAGTTTAACTCGTATTGCGACTTAGGCGTGGTTGTTGTGTAACTGTTGATTAGTCTTGAGAAGGCTTTCCGTTTTCTTAATGCCAATCTGATTCTATGCCCCACTCCCATGACTTTGCAGGGTTAAAGTCAAAGCAAATTGTTATGAATGACTGATATTCTTCTTATCTTAGAGCATCTTTCTTCCCACTAACAGCGTGTCTTCTAATTTAACATTATTTTAACTTTTCCCCTCAAATGCGTTCTCACACAAATGATATCCTAATAATTTTAAGTTTAATTCCTACTGTTTTAAATTGACTCTAAGAGAGAGAGAGAGAGAGAGAGGGACACACACGAAATATTTGGCTGTCTCAGGCTGCAGTTAGCCAAAATCACTGATTTATACGGCTGATTACTAATACCTTTGCATCCCCGTTATCATGTAATGAAAAGATGCTACTTTTCCATCTCTGAGTCAGACCTTTTTACTTGGATATATGATCAGCAACGTCGAAATTTGGAATGAAACAAATCAAAATGTCGTCGTTCATATGGGGGGAAAAAAATTCATTTACTTTATAAAATATAAAAGATAATGATATATATTTATGGCCAATTAAGACTAAAGACAAAATATTAATCCTTAGGAAACTTTGTTTACATTCATGGAGAGAAAAAGCGTGTTTAGGAAAAATTGATGTGATCGTAAAACTGGATTTGATTTTATTAAGCTTTGCAGTGATTTGAGAGTTCCCCGCCCCCCCAACCCATGGAATAGAACGCACCACCTTCAAGCCCATTGAGCATGTTCACGTGGAGGCCACTTCTTCGTCTTCTTGGGCTCGAATCCCAACCCGTTTACCAATATTGAATACGGGCTTTTTGACCCTGCAGTGGATCGAGGTCGTGTTTGGACTTCTTATCACGGGTTTAGTTCCCAGTTAGGTCTCACACCGGATGCCATCTTGGCCACGTCAGATTTTGAGGTCGGGAGGTTTTTTACTAATTGTGCATTTTTATTGATGTTTCTGAGTTATTTTTCCGAAGTGATAGTCATAGCTTGTTATTGTGTAGTCAAATGGATTGTTAATTAAAATTATTTAGGATGTTATTAAAAATCATGAATTATTGGCAAAAATAAAAATAAAAATCATGAATTGAAAAAGTCGGCGCACCCGGAGTTTTTTTTTTAAAATTTTTTATCTGTATTGATAATTAAAAGTTTTTTCTAACTAATTTAATTTTATCTCTTGATTAATTTTTTCTGGTCAATATTTCTTGATTGATTAATTTTACTGGATTTCGATTCGGATCACTTTACATCATTATGTTTTAAAAATAGGGATGTGATTTTCAATTTTTGTTTTTGACGTGGGGGGGGGGGTTCTGATTTTGATAAATTAATAACGATAAAAATCGATATGTGATTAGATGATGCGATTTCTCTAATGGGAGACAATCAGTTGAACTCAAATATTAAAGGAAAAATTAATTTTTTTTAGTCATTGTAGTTTTAACACGTTGTAGCTCAGTCTTTCTATACTTTGACTTAGTACAACTCAATCCTTATAATTTTAACTCGGTTGTAACTCAATTCCCAAAATTTGACTTGCTGCAACTCGATTCTTATAGTTTTACCTATTTTATAATTTAGTTCTTATGTTTTTGAAAAATAAAATTATATATCTAATAAAAAGAGGGACTGAATTATAAAATAGATAAAAGTATAAGGACCGAGTAAAATTATATATCTAATAAAAAAAAGGAACTGAATTATAAAATAGATAAAAATATAGGGATCGAGTTGCAGCAAGTCAAATTTCAGGATCTAAGTTACAATCGAGTCAAAATTATAAAGATTGAGTTATATCGAATCAAAGTATAAAGACAGAGTTACAAATGAATAAAAATTATAGGGACCAAAAGATTAATTTTCCCAATAATAAAATATGAACACACTAATAATGTGGGAGAGATGCCACCCCTCAAGACAAAAACAACGTACACAGCAAAACACGTAGAAGTCCATTATTGTCGAAAAAATAAATAAATGAAATATATATCGCATATGAAAGTGGAGCATATTAAATTTAAACGAATGACTAATTTATGACCGGCGAATTAATTAATAAATATGCTTCCCGGTGCAATAGGAGAAGAATCCAATTTTTAGGGCTTTAAAACCCCCTCGAAATATATTCGCATGACAACTACTTTTAAGATTCGGACCAATTGATAAGTTTAAAATAGTTGGAACGCTCTTCAATAGCTACACCAACTCTCTGTTTATTTTATCCTCTCCTAATAAAACGGACAAATTTTTTTCTTTGCCAGAAGAGTAACACATAAGTAATGATTGTCATTGTACTAATCCAGTGTGAATAAATGTCTGTAATAATAACTATTTCATCGTAGATTAAATTTGAATAACAATATAACCAATCAGAAACACGAGTTAAATTTTGAGGGGAAATGGTATCATTTGCAAATATATAATGCTATTAATATTTAATATAAGAACCGGGCAATTAATTTGTAAATATTAAATAAATTAGTTAAGTTAGTTATTTGTAATAAATAGATGTTTTTCATAAACAACAGTGTATTGAAATTATTTTTTCATGAAAACTCTCTAACATATGCCGTTATCATATGAATTACTTTGGGAGAAAAATAAATAAATATCGAAGATAAAATAAATTAGAATATTATATTTAAAACTACATTAAATTTTCAACCAACTCCTATATTAATAAAGCTACTAAAGAAACAATTTATATACTCCTTCAATCCTAAATATAAGATCCATTTTATAGTGTAAATTATACTATAAAATGAGTTTTATATTTAAGACAAAAGGAATATATAATTATTGGCTTATTGCCACCGACAGCGATGTAAGAATTTATGAGGTGCATGAGGTGCCAACACTAAACAACACTACCGTCTACGTTATGATGATACCTAACGGTTGAGAGATACACATTACCAGAATGAGTTATTAAATATCTTATCACATGTAGTTTAATTCATGACATTAATAATTACGCGCCATCCATAAATAAACTGGAAACCCACCTTTTAAATGTAAAGAATAACTCTGCATATAACTCAATTTTAATTTTAAGAAGATTATGACATGTATAACATCTTTCCTTAGAGCCTTGGTGGTTTCTTGTGTCTTATACTACCTCCGGTCCTCATTATAAAAGCCAGTTGACTAATTTGAGGAGATTAAGGAAGTAAGTTAAGTTAGTTATTTGTTTTAAATAGGTGTTGTCTTTCCTAAAATATCATTGCTAATCAAGTGTATTGAGTAGAACTATCATTGTTAGAAGGGCTACTTTGAAAAAAAATATATAAATATGAGAGACAAAGTGGATTGTGATCTTATATTTAGGACTAAAATAAAAATCAAACAGGATCTTATATTAAGAACCGGAAGTAATATATGGTTTCAAGAATCAACTGTTTTATTTGGTCTGTGAAGTACATGGACACACACACATATTTGAGGTTTATACTGACTGGTTTAATCAGTTTATAATGCTTAGTTCTATTAGTTTTTTTTTTTGGTCAAGTTAACCTCTTTCTCTTTTTTCCTTCATCATTCATGTTTCAATTGTTGTCTAACTTGATCCTTATATCAATTTTTCTGTTGAAATTAAACAAAAGTTCTCCCCATCACCGTGTCATGTTCGCATTTTAAAATCAATTCATGATAAATTAAATAGCACAGTCGAAGAAAAAAGTGGGCGAATAATTTACATCATGGTTAAAGGGAAATTTGATTGAAACATATTTAATAAAAAGGATTAATCAGCTTGTTAGATTTTAACCCTTGGACAACGCAAGGGACATATAATAGTTTTACCAATAAACATATAATTTTCGCATGGTAAAATCATATGATTGGATATCTAAAAATTCTTACCCGTATCGTATCAATATAAAAATAGTTGGGCGTACAAAAATGTAAATTAGTATTGCTAAATTTTATCCCAAATAATATTTCCAGTATTTTTATATATGATTAAATTAAATTTAAATGTAAACAAATTAGTATATACCTTGTTAATTCATAGCAGTATTTGATAAATGTTTACGGTAAGTATAAAATGCAAATAGAATAATAAGTAGGGGGGAAAAAAAAGAGATTACTCCTCACATGTCGCCAAAAGCCAACAAATGACAGATTAAAAAAAAAAAAGAAATTAAGCTCACGAGGCGTCGCACACTTTCTAGAAGTTCATTTCATAAATTTTGATGCCCCAAGCCAAAACAAATCTAATCTAAGTATATCCTAAACATAACGTGTTTCTTGATGTAAGTCATTTTCATTCGACAGATTACTCGTTTTGGATGAATTGGCTCATATTGTAGATTGTAATTTTTAGAATGGACAAAATCAGATAGTGTGTCTGTCTGCCAAATGAAAAAATAAAAATAAGCATACCTGGGAAGACGCCGGTTTAGTGATCCTTTATGTATTTATTTACTTACTAAATGAATAAAAAAATGATAAAAAAAAGTTGAAAATTACAATATTCCAATTTAGGCACCTAAGAAGTTAAAATCCTAGGAGAATAAATGATGTCTCATATGATATTTTGCAAATATAGTTAAATAACAAAAATACTCTTATATTAAAAAGTCTATTAACAAATTATGAATTGACAATAACAAATGTTGAATAGCAAATGACAAAAAATGTACTAATAATGACAAGTTATTTATTAATAAGTTGTGAACTGATAATGACATGTGTTGAATAATCAATAACAATAAATGCAAGGACTATGACAAGTTTGATATATATTTTTTTAAAGGCTGGTACAAGGACATTTTAATTATTTAATTATATTTACAAAATACCAGATTAGGCACAATTTTCTTTTTTGAGATTTTGACCTCTTTAGTGTCTAAATTAAAATATTGTAATTTTCAACTTCTTCTTATATCATTTTTTTTTCATAAATAAATGTATTATATTTTTAAAAATAAAAAAAAAGTGTTTTGTTTACGTAAAACGTGAGGACTTAGGATTTCGGTATCACGAGGAGAGAGGCTCCATTCCGAGATCTTTACATGTTTGGGTGTCGCAATAACGCAATGGAAGGAATGGAGCTCCTCACTTTATGATCCCAATTACTTCTCCACATGCACGTGAATTCCCACCCCTTTCCGCTTGATTAAGCTAAACCTTTTCCTTTAAAGAGCAGAATCCATAAAAAATCTGAAATGTTTCATTAAAAGTAAACAAACAAGTTGAGGGAAACTGATATGCCGAACTAGGAAACTACATGCAACAGTAGTTGTCCCCCCCCCCTAATGCTTCAGGAGGTGTTGGATGAATCTTAAAACCGAAGAATGAAATTAAAAAGTCATACATTTTTTTTTTAAAATTGAAAAATATTGAGCATAATTCTTCACAAATTGTGAAACTAATCCACTTTGCTTTATAAATAAGTGGGGAAGGGGTGGGTATACAGTAGTACATCACAAACGGCAAATGACCGGAAACCTTAACCTATGAAGTTTATCCCTTGAGAACAGGATTGCGAAGAAAGAACATACTGATGGGTTGAACCACAATAATTCCAGAACCCCGCTTGATCCCGAACAGAACAATGAACATCCCACCGTGGGCGGGGCCCAAAACATTAAAAAATGGAAAAATAGAAAAAAGAACATCTGGATTTCATCCAATGCGAACTCGCCACGTGGAAAGAGTAGCTGGCAGAGCAACCGACACTCATTCACTCACTCACCGTTAATCTAATACTGCGAAGCAAGGGAGGAGCACTAGGAATAGAGGGATAATTAATTAATTGATTAATAATTAATTAAACAATTTGCGCCCATTCATTGGTTCTCATCTCGCATCCGCATTTACACTAACTGTAACTAATCTGGTGCTCTGGGACCATCTTATTCCCCACCAAACATCAAACAAAAAATTATTCGTACTACCAGCAATGAAGTGAGCCTTGTATTGCTCCTTCACATCAGAGGCAGAACCGAAGAAAGTAAGCCTTCTCTCTCGGGTCTTTCATTCCTCCGCATTCTCTCTGGTCGCCATGGATCGTCGAATCCATGGCGTCGCCACGCTCCTCTTCTCTCTTCTTATCTTCCTCTCCGGCCTCCCCTTCCTCGCATTCTCCGATTCTCCAAATCTCAGATTGTCGGTCGCTTCTTCCTCTGGTCAAATAAACTCCAACTCAGTTCTGGTGGCTCTTCTGGACTCGCATTACACGGAGCTTGCCGAGCTGGTCGAGAAAGCTATGCTTTTGCAGACTCTCGAAGACACTGTCGGTGCCCACAACATCACCATCTTCGCACCCAGAAACGAAGCTCTCGAGCGTGATCTCGACCCAGAGTTCAAGCGCTTCCTTCTCGAACCCGGCAATCTCAAGTCTCTTCAGTCCTTGCTCATGTTTCATATCATTCCCACCCGAATTGGATCGCAGGCGTTGCCCACTCAAACCGGGTCAACCCGTCACGAGACGCTCTCTAAGTCCGAGTTCATTCGCCTTGCCAATAATGGGACCGGGGAATGGACAGTGGATCGCGCCAAGATTATTCACCCCGATGTAGTCTCCCGACCCGACGGAGTGATCCACGGGATTGAGCGCCTCCTTGTCCCTCGTTCCGTCCAAGATGACTTCAACCGCCGGCGGAGTCTTCAGTCCATTACGGCGGTGAAGCCCGAGGGAGCGCCGGAGGTTGACCCCAGGACGCATCGCCTCAAGAAGCCGGCTCCGCCTGTTAAACCAGGTTCGCCGCCGCTTTTGCCCATTTACGATGCCATGGCTCCGGGACCCTCTCTGGCGCCTGCCCCAGCTCCCGGTCCCGGTGGACCACACCATCATTTCAACGGGGAAGCCCAGGTCAAGGATTTCATTCAGACACTGCTTCATTACGGTGGGTACAATGAAATGGCCGACATTTTGGTGAATCTGACATCCTTGGCAACTGAAATGGGTCGGTTAGTGTCTGAGGGCTATGTCCTAACTGTCTTGGCTCCGAACGACGAAGCCATGGCTAAACTAACCACGGACCAGCTGAGCGAACCGGGTGCTCCGGAGCAAATAATGTACTACCATCTAATACCCGAATATCAAACCGAAGAGAGTATGTACAATACAGTTCGAAGGTTTGGTAAGGTCCGGTACGATACGCTCCGGTTACCACATAAGGTGGTAGCTCAGGAGGCAGACGGGTCGGTCAAATTCGGGCAGGGAGACGGGTCGGCTTATTTGTTCGACCCCGATATTTACACGGACGGTCGTATCTCGGTTCAGGGTATCGACGGGGTTTTGTTCCCACCGGAGGAGGAGGAAAAACCGGTGACCCGGACGGTTCAACCCGCCAAAGTCGTGGTTAAACAGAGAAGAGGTACTTTTCTTTTTCTATACTCTTACTTTGGTGAATTGTTTATTGGCTGGAAAAGTGGACACTGATAATGATGTGAAAGTGTGTGATTGCCTTTGTTTTCTTTGGTATTTTCGTTCTTGCGTTTGTTTTACGAGGGCTTGACTTAAGCCTTAAGAAATATGGTGGAACTTATGAATAGATATTATTAGAGAGCCACGACTTCGCAGGACAACGTTGTAATTAATGTCTAGTTTTGAACAACCAGATGTGTTTAGATGAAAAATTCATGTGATTATGGTTGCAATTGCAAGTTAACCGTTAAAAGATATTATTAGCGTGAATTAGTCAAACTAATCCAACACGGTATAGCAGTGTCCCCATTTATCTGCATCGCCTTTCTACTAGGAGTTTACCTGTGGTTGGTGCAAGGGATTTTTATTTATTTTATAGAGATTTATATCTAATATATTTTTCACAGAAGATAGTTGGCTTGAGGGGAATGAATGAGAAGGAAGAAAATAAAGCTTGATTAAACCTAAATCAAAGGATGAATATTTCCTGACAAAGTTTTGATTACTCAAATTTTGCAAATTTGTGCATATATGCTTTCAAAATAAGCCAACAAAGTTCGGATTCGTGCGCGACAATGCACAGTTAGCTAAAAGGAATTTATCTTCATTGTATGTGCGATGGACCATGCCTGATGCTCAAAGATTGAGTCGTTGTCTAACGTGGAACGCTAAAAGATGCCAATCTTGAAAACAGACAGGACTTAACATAGAAAATTCGGATTAAAGTGATGCCAAATTCTGAAATCACCGAATTTAAATAACGGAATATGGAGAAACAAGAACGAGTTTTTGTTCACTGACATCTGTTCATTTTTATTTGTCTTTTCTTCTCTAGAACAGAATATTTTGATGCTCCATAAATTGTTCTGCAGCAATGTTTTGTTTTGTTTTTTTTTTATAATATAACTCGAAGTATCCTCAAGTCAGTTTCGGCTAAAGACTAATTTTTGTTGGGTTGGGAGCATTAAGATTAAAGCTCTCCCAACAAGTATACTTCCAGGAATTTGAACTTGTGTTCTTCTTCTTGTGAGGTGACACCGCTTAACATCTCAACCAATAACTTGTTGGTTGTTGTGCAGTTTTTGTTCATATCTTTGTTAGTTCAATCCTGGTCATGTGACTTGTGCTGTGTCCAACCTTATTATGTCTAAATTTACACGAAGGTTAATTGATTTAACGTTGGATGAGGTATATTGAACAAGTCGAATTTTTTATGTATGTCTTTAATCTCAAGAGAAGTATAAAATGACAGGAAAATTGCTGGAAGCAGCATGCCGGATGCTTGGAACCTTTGGACAGGATTCTAGATTCGCCGCTTGCCATTGAAGAACCAATCCTTTGGCTGGCAACATAAGCATTCACAATTATGTGAGATTCCAACTTACATTATCTCATGTTTTCTCATTGTAAACTTCAGTTAATACAAGGTTTTGTATTCCTTTCTACTATTTATAACCTATTTTCCTCCTCCTCAATATACTTCCACTTATAAGTTCGTCGTTTTTAGAAATGATCACATAGCTGCATGATTGTAGAAGACTTCATTTTGTTGTTCTTGGATTGCAGATTGGTGGAAATCCCAAAGATGTAAAAAAAAATCACGGGATATGGAGGTAGCTTTGGTTGAATAAAGAATAGAAGCCGTGATTGTGCGATCATTTTGTTTTGCAAGTTTTTGTTTGTGGAATGAATGGTGGTAGGCTGAAGAACAAAAGTTTCTGTAGCCTTGTGATGCAACAATGCAATATAATGCATATAATGTATGTAGATGATTCATGGGGATAATCTCAATTCTTATCATAGAGGGGTGGTGTTGGTGGGATCCAAAGGTTTTTGTGCAACACAAGGCAGGGATCTCTCTGCCCGATACGTGTCCATTGAGCAAGTATTTTCACCCAGAAAAAGGTGGGAAATACAATAAAAAAAATCAATTCTTTTGTGTAATAATAAGACCTCCTTCCCAAGCAAAGCAACTGAGCTCTTCTCTTTCAGTTTGTCTAAGGTGCATCTGAGTGGAATTATTATTATTATTATTATTTGGGTAAGAAATATTGGTTGATCTAGTCGTATTACGTCACCGGTAATTCAGCCAAAATATGACCCAAATCTTATCTCAACTCGAATATGGCATAGTTACAAATAAACTCAAACTTTTGTATCAGATTAAAATGGTGTTTGGATACCCTGAAAAGTGCTTCTTAGAAGTAGTTTTCTGCAAGTCGAAATAAACTCTTCTACATATTTATCTCGTACACCGTAAAATCACTTCAATGAACATGGGGAGCTCAGGAATCAAATGCAGTTATGGAAGGCAAAAATATGATAACACGTTATTTTCTTCTAACAAAAATAACAAAAAAATTACTTAAAATAAATTAAACTCAACAACCCATGCTCTCATACCCATTTTTGGTCTCTATTTATCCTCTAACTAACAAGGTGCATTTTCATTGATCTTTCGAGAACCAAATTACGGGTAATTTCGGTAAATTATCAGTAATTTTGGTGTGTGTTTGGAAGGAAGGAGAGAACAGCCAAGGTTATTTCTAAACTCCTCGTGTTCTCTCAGTAGGATTAATTTACTTTATATTTTCATTTCACGTGCCAACATGAGGACAATGATAAATGAAAGAGTAACTTGTTTATATTGCTATATTGATATATAATTACTATTCATATTAACTTTGACATCTGATATTGCAAGTTAATCCAGCATAATCGTTAACTCCATTGATAATATTGACTTATCTAAATCTGCTAGCGCGTTAACTTTGAAGCAGTCCATGTTTCAATGCTTTTGATTCTCTCATGGCAAAATATGACAAAATCAGAGACCATGTACAACCGGAAACAGGAATCTCTCAAGCATTGCCTAACAAAATTCAACAAGACTCTCGGTTCATTCCCTTGTTCCATGAAAATCCCTTCCAATATTCACACTGCTTCTTTACCTTTTTCTTTTTGCCCCACCTCTTGAAGCTTGACCACCCTTCCCAGCCGATGCAGAAGCACCTTTACCTCTTCCAGCTGGCGTCTTCTTGGCACTTGAATTTCCTGTTCCCTTCAAATCCAATTGTACTTGCATGGCTACATTGCAGAACAAACCGTCAATTATCATCACTCGTTCAACAGTAATTGCCCGAAATATATATTACCACAAACTAATGGGAGATTATGATATACCCTTTGAATTTAAACTTTGAAGTTCTGACTGCAGCTTCTCACCAGTGGCGGTACCGTCTGATGAGGGGTGCAAAAAAGTTAGTTGCCATAAATTAGACAGCCAATAAGAATAATCTGAAGTGCAGACAAAACTTACCTAACTCCTCTGTGTCTGAGGAATTCTCTTCTTCACTCTCTTCCAGGATATCACCTTCACCCTGTTCCAGTCCCTCGTCGGATGGTTCTAGGATAGCAGCAACTCGCTTCTTAACAGGTTTTTTCATTCCAGGAATTGCGACTAGATCTGCAGCTCGAACCATCCGAGACTTGCTCTCTTCTTTGTATGCTTTTGTCAGTGCAGATTTAACAGCTGGCGGTATGCCATCCAGTGGATTTGGATGACCCTGATGCATAAAATATAAAAGATAAACTAGCGGTAGTGGAAGTTTGTAACGGCATCATCAGATACGGTAAATCACCTTGAATTTTGATAGTTCGATAATAGTATCAAAATCTTCTTGACTGATTGAGTAATTATTCATAAATTCCACAACCTTCTGAACAGCTTCATCCTGATATTTTCACGAGGAAAGGTGCCACTCAACTAATATTCAGATTAAATATTTCCATATTTACAACCTTCAGCAATAGATACACTTCCAACCTTAGGCAAGACTCTCAATGGTTCTGTCAACTGTTGAAGGAGTGGTTTAAGATAATCCAAACGGAGGGTTTCCCTGCAACAATTAATAAAAAAATATTACGTCCATAAATCTACAGGACACCTATCTTCAAGTATGATATTGAAGAAGAGGCAAGTCGGATCAAATTATTCCAGATGCTTAAAATTGATAGAAGTTCCTAACATTGAAAATTAGATACACAAACACAGTTTGAATTGAAGGTTCGAACAGGAACTGCTTGAAAGTTGCACAAGACAGATCAGTCCCATGCTAACTCCTAAAAAATTATTTGCACGTGCTGACAAGAATGTTTAACAATCAAATGAAACAGGCAAAACGTTAGATGCATGAGCAAACAAGCAGATAATAAACTTAAGGTATTACGGTGAATAATTATTTACCTTCCTGGACTGGATTCACGAGAAGCAAGAACGTGAACATGCAGATCTTCCAAAAGCCTGAAGTTTTTGCCCATTGTTGAGTTTTTCCCCAGCCAACCACCAAACCGGTTATAATTCCGTTCACCCTGCATATATGATGCAAATTGTGAGTAGTGACACTGCATAAGAATCTAAACCTATCAGGACTCTCTCAATGAGGGACCAACATGAACGAGAAAAACAGGAAAATAAAAACTATTTGATGTGTAACAAGAAAGGAAATCAGGACATCAAACACTTCAAAACAAGTGAGTATATTGCTTAAAATAGATCTAAAGGCCACACAAAGCCAAAGCCCTCTCTTATAGGCTACAACTGCTGTGATAATTAAACTAATTCACAGTAAAACTACTTCAAAACCAAGTGCGTAGACCGAGGCAGTAAAAAGAAAGTTTCCGATAATTGAAGTGGTACTAGGATGTGTTCAATGCATTCAGTCAATTCCAACGTCAAATCTTTAGCAAATAACAATCACAAGCAGGACACAACGCTGAGGACTTATCAAATTCAATTAAAATTATTAAAATTTATGCGTGAACATAATTTTCATGACATTTTGTTCGTAAATTTTTATTGCATTGTTTAATTTATTAGTTTCCATATGAATTGTTTCTATATTATTTTTTGAAAAAATGGTTCAACGAGTTCAGTAAATGATTATGATCCAAACTCAAGATTAAGCAATGCTAACTCAAGAAATCCTAATTCAAATGAAAATGAAATAACACCTAATCAACCCAAATTCTAAAATGCCGATTACTCAAATTGTACAAGAACACAGCTTCGAAGATTATCAACCTTATATCTTAAATCACAACAAAATCATACATGAATCTGAATGCCATAATCAACACCCTCATACCGAACCAGAAAAAAGAAGAAGAAGTTGACTGCATATAACCTCAGATATTTAGTTCTGACAAAGGGATGAAAGTTCAAACTTATGATTTTCCTCGTCAAGGGGTCAGGAGAAGAAACTTAAGGACAAATGGTACATTAAGGAATTAGATCAAAACTTAGACAGAATCACAAACAGAAAACAAAAAATGAAAAGTAAGAAGGGACATATTGCAATAGCATTCATGAGATAAACCTATTTTACCAGTTCAAGGATTTCTCTCTGCCCGTGCAACAATGAAGCACTGAAACAGACGCAAAGAAAATTATTAGAATGAACGACTAGATGGAAAAGAATTGATGAGCAGAAGTTCAGTCCAGATCAGATATAAGCTACATACGGAATTATACTTGATGCAAGAGTACTAGCTTGAGAGAGCTGCCACTGCCGATATCTTCGAATCTGTACATTCACTATATCTCCATCAGCAATAGACTCAGCAGCACGGGCAATTAACTTCATGCGCTTCACATCATTGTCATCTTTACTAGCCAAACTTGGTCTATAATTAATATAATTTTCCTGCCATGTATATATCCCAAAAAGAAGTTATAAGGTGTAATTTGACTACTTGTTCTAATGCAGCATGAAACATATGGCTATTGTGCAGCAAAAAACCCTCCAGTACTACAATGAGTAAAAGCAAAGACTACTTTGAACTTCAGATTGTGCTGCACAGCAAGTATTTCTGTCAATAAGGTCTGGGTTAAAATATAAATAGAACCCAAAAAGTTAAATTTGCCTAGAAAAAATTACGGACCAAGACTAGGCAAGAATCAAATAGTCATAAAGCAGGATTCAGGTGCTTTTCCAACATTACATTTCCAAAATTAACAGTCAAAGGAATTAAAGAACCTGAATAAGAAGAGGAACAAGGTCAGGATCACTCATGCTAAGATTGATCCTGTCATCCATTTTCAACTTCCCAGCATTAAAACCAAAAAGCCTACAAGATAAGATGACAAGTTAGCATAAGTGCTGGCTTACATTTTACATCTTCTAAATAAACATGCTTGGGTTTCCAAAATGGAAAAGTCCTTGTTGTGCAAGCCACAAGACTACGACAGTACATAATTTTAACTATAGAAGGACTAATTCCATACTTATCAACAGCAGTGAATGGCGAGATGTCCTCATCCTTTGAGCTAGATAAAAGGCGCTGCCTGATGTCGTCATAGTTAATAACAGACGTGGAGAGGCTCATATAGTGCAACTGATTTAGCGCCATGCGCATATCTCCATTAACTCTTTCTGCCAGCTCCTCAAGAGCAATCTGTATTTGATAATACAGTGAAGATAATAATGATTTTGTGACTGACAAATACCAATATCAATGGTTCAAACAAGTTCATTACCCTCAAAATCCACACAACTAATTGCAATTACGGGCTCCAGGCAATAGGATAGAACTAATTGATGGATCAGACTTATACCTCATTGACTTGAAGCCCTTCAGCTTTCGCAACTTGCATCAACCTCTTTGCCATCTGGAATAAATCAAATCCAGCATCAAAACATAGAGAAAAAACCTTCCATATAACATCAAACTTGTATTAAAACGTAGAGAAAATTAAAGTTAAATGTTTAAAAACATATATAGGTCTGGTCAAACTTTGAGCTCATTAAACTCAATAATTCAGCAACCCACTCAGTACAGATTATCGTCTTGGGGCTGAACATGGATTGTTTGCAAATAATCCATGTTCCAAAGTGATATGATTTATGAAGCTCATGTAATCATTGAAGAGGAAGAACCAAAGAATTAAGAGATTATTATAGCTTCGTTTGTT